ACATGCACATTCCTTAATGTGCATGTAGGGGGGGGGTGAATTATAGGTTGTATTTATGTTTGGTATTGTTTGAGCAAATTGGGAAAGGAACTAGCTTAGGGTAGAAACATGACGGTCAGAAAGTTCAACCCCACTACTCTTTTTGCCAAATATATGCTATATGACCATGCTGTATAATACTAAAATCAGAAGAAATAAAGGGAACACTGTGAATAAATGTGTGTAAAATATGAACACTACTCACCAGTCAGGCCTAGGTGAAAACCAGCCACGCCAGGTGAGCTGTGACGTCACCAAGCCTGAGGCATGGGCGGGTCCATTGTTTACCTGGACAGGTGTGTTGTACAGGTACCAAACATGGCCATGTGTGCAGAACATTGGGGAACCATGCCTAATGATGGGTGGGGGAGGGGGTGGTAATTATCTCATAACTACCACAAATGACCACTCGATAAAAAAATCATGTGAATTTATATTCAGTTGCTTTAGAAAAGAGAGAAGAAATCTTAAGAGAAAATAGATAAATTGAGACTTGGATTAGATAGAATGTAATACCTTGAGTCGTCCGTTTGAATGCTATGTTACTTAATATTATTAATATACACGTAACATTGTCAGTATGCATTTAGCCCAGTGGGCATGAACGTGCAAATAAAGATGAGTTGTCAATGTTTGCTGTTCCTCTGAAGAAGGAGTGAAAAGGAGTGCTTACAAAGGTCACATTCAGTACACATTGTGTTTGTACTTGTTACTAATTGACATCCATTCAATGCTTGTATCAGATACAACGCCAATATCCTCAGCCACCTACAATACTATTGTATACTACCGCATATAAGATTGAAGACATGACATTGAGTTCAGGTAAATGATCATAACAACGCTTTGAAATACACGGGGGCTGTCGTGTCAAGAATTACAGAAGTGGTACCAAAATAAAACACTCTTTGACAGTGCAAATACGTACATAATATATGTATATACGTACACTGGCCCAATGGTTTTCAGAAAACTTGCACTGTACTTATCCATGGCCACAGAAATCAGGTAAAATATCTTACGTGCGGGGCGACGTCAACTGTGGCACTCAGGTAACACGCCAGGTAACAGCCGCTGACCTTGACCTTTGATCCACTTAATGAGGTCATAATGGTGACCGTTAAAGTTGCCTGGTTACTAAGTAACTAGTTACGCCACGCTGCAGATTTCCCATAGAAAATGTTACATCCATTTGAAGGCATAACGGCCGTCACTTTGTTGTGACGTGTCTAAAGAGGACTGTAGCTGATTTAGAAACCAGAGGACGATATGTTCTTACTTCGCGAGAACTTTTCCAGGGTGCGTGAAATAAATTTCTAGCATAAAAGTTTTTTGTCCATTTTAAACACCTTAGCAGAGCGTCCAGAATGTCCAAAGTAGCAGCCCGAGCCTTCCACCGTCTTCAGTTTGGTTTGACACGTGTCTTGTCATGGAACTGTGTGGAGAATGTAAAGAAAGATTTAGAAATATTGCAAACAAAAGTAGACCAACATAAGGATTAGTAGATATAATAAAGAAAAATGTACCATAATCACTTTCTTTGAACATAACACAAACGAAAATTTAAAAAAAATCAACAAATTCATCAAAACAATCTGACGTTCTGAACTTATTTTCTTTTCAAATTGCGGTAAAAGCTATAAATATTTCTGCACTGTAACTCAACCCACCTCCATATAAGGCCTGGATGGCCGTGACGTCAACCGCGGGAAGAGTGTAGGATGACCCCTGGTAACCCGGGTACCATGGAAACATGGCGGCGTCCCTGTGCTCAGAATGTTCCAGACCGAGGCTGTGGCCGAGCTCGTGAACAGCCACGATAAACAAGTTGGTTCCTATGGCAACAACAAATAGCAACAAACATTCTATACCCTCACATTCTTTATAATTACCGAAGGAAAACATATTGGTTTTGCTCAGTTTCTTCCTCTTCTTCTTCTCCAAACAGTGACCTATGACCTGACCAATGACACGATTTGTTGACGTCTGTCACCATGGTGACTGGTGTTGGGTTACATAATGTTGCAATTTCATGGTCTGCTCTGCTCCTGTCACCATATAATAGTAGTACATGTATGTGAGTGTGTTTGAGTAAGAATTAACAGGGCAGACCATGTCCGAAGGTAAACATCATGCATTTGCTTTGCAAATGTTACTTCTCTAGTTTCTTGATTAATTTTACCCAAGGATGTTGTATTTAATAATAATAACCGCCTTGGTTTACCAAAGGAAATAATATTGTTTTGTGCTCAATTTCTTATTCTTCTCCAAACAAATGTAGGTCAATGACCTAAACCAGACCTCTGTCACCATAGCAACTAGTGTTGTGTTGCAATTTTATGGCAAGGGGTTCTGCATGACCATATATAACTGTAATGAAAGTGTTTGATCTAAGTAAGAATTCACAGAGCAGGCCACATGCGAAGGTATTAACATTATGCATTTGCCTTGCAAATGTTACCTTTCTACGTCTTTTCTTCCTTAGGTTGATACATGATTTGATACATTTGAAGTTGCCCTTTATTTCCTTGAGTTTCCTTGCTTTTGGATGGCATTGCCATTATTTATTATGACCAAAATAAAATGTAGACCCTGAACCCCCCTGTTTACCATGCGGAGATAGGACCGTCCATTGTTCCGCGGCGTCAAAATGGACGTCACCGAGAAGGCCTTCCCCGGGGAAGTACGCATGCGCCAGCGTGTTACCCGAGCCGTCGAAGTGGAATCGGCAGTTTCCGTGCTTCCTTCGGGCAAACTCGATCTCGATGTCGGCCTTTTCCGTCACTGGTCGGAACGTCAAGGGCGTAACGTCTGCCCAGACCTGGAAAGGTGGTGATATTCTATTTTCTCTCTTGTCTCTCTCTCTCTCTTTCTGTCTCTCACTCTCTCTCTCTCTCTCTCTCTCTATCTATCTATCTCTCCCTCTTTGTCTCCCTGTCTCTCTCCCTCTCTCTGATCTGTCTCTTAATCTCTCTGTCTCTCTGTCTCTTTATCTCAAAGTCTGTCTTTCTCTATATTTCCCTCTCTATCTGTCTTCTCTCTCTCTCTCTCTCTCTTTCTGTCTGTCGACGTCTCTCCGTCTTTGTCTCTCTCTCTCCCCCTCTCTCTGTCTTTCTCTCTCTGTCTCTCTCTCTCTCTATTTCATTCAACCAAACGGACTTTTCGTCTTCATACCTGGAAAGCTCTCGCAAGGGCCTCATCCACCTCTTCGGATGGCAAACGGTTCCACGGGTAAGAGTTGATGCGGTAGGTCAGGTCCACCCTCCCCCACTTGCGAATGGTTCCTCCTGGCTGCACGTACGTGCTATGGGCGGTGCTCCGGGTCATTGCCATGGGAACGGGGTCACTGTGAGGGCACCGCTTCCGACTGATGAGGTCAAGGGTCTCACGGTCAAGTTTCCCTGTTTAGAATTAGAATAAGATTATAGACACTGCCTAGTTTTGGCATGGAAAGAAAAACCGTGTTATATCAAACACAATAAACAGCTCCAAGGCTAAAAATTAAGATTCAAAAACTCATCAGGTTGAAGTTTGAAGGTCATGTTCGAAAATTGACGCCATTTTGAGAGCCCCTACTCTGCTATATGTTCCTATACACAAATAATTAGAGAACAATTTTACAGACATACATTATAGCTTAAAGAGCTTATATATAGAATAGATGCAACCGACTGGTATTTGATTCCAATACAAGATTTGACCTTCACTATAAAATGCAGAGAAAGATGTTTTTATTTTGAGGGAGGGAGTGCTTGCAGCTTACCTACTGAATGAAAACAAATTCAGGTCTGCACCTGTTTTCCTGATATCAGCGAACTGCTGTAAGTCTCTGATGGCGAGTTTTAGCGCTCCTCTGTTCGTCCTTTTCTTCTTCTTCTTCTTCTTCTTCTTCTTCTTCTCCTTCCTTCCCCTGGTCTTGGCGCGTTTTGGCCTTGTCTTCGTTTTACCTGTTTTTTGTTGCCGTGTCTCCGAAGCTGGTTCTGACCGGAGGTAACCATAGCGACGCAGGAACGCCTCACAATCCTGGGGAAATTGGTGAAAACCCGAATTTATGGGAAAACAACTTGTAATCATAACTATATAATTATGTGACAGTGTGCTTGGGAAAGACGCTTTACTCGACATTCCTCTCTCCACCCAGGTACAAAATGGGTACCTGACTTCGGTTGGGAAAGTAAAAAGAACTAGAGAGAGGGGGTCCGTTTTGTAATTAAGTGCTGTAGACACAATTAATCAACAGCCCACTGCCTCTACGGTCTCAAAAGGACTCGAGATCGTCTAATACTGAGCAAGGAACGTGCTGAACTGTTTTCGTCACAAACTTAACGAAAAAAAACACTAACTTCGCTTCTATCAAGGACGTTATATCAAGTTTGTTGGTCATCTTGTCTCAGAAGAAACGTCGTCACAGCTTTTGACAAAATCAGCCCTTTTTGTATCCCAAAGAATGTACGTTTTGCCGAGGGCTGAGAGTGATTGACAAGTTAGATACACCCGAAGGGAAAAGGGCCAGGGACCTGCCGCGAGTGACGTTCCACCCATTGTACTGATCTAAAAGGTCCTTGACTTGGTTAGGTCATAATGATGGCGTTATCGCTGCCAGATTTCTGTACATATCCTGAATGTTACTTTCCTGAGTTTCCAGAAAATTCTGTACGGCTTGTTATATGTCTTGTTATCCATTATACCACTACTTGAGGCGCTACTCGGCATTTTAAGAAGATATTTGATGACATCAAATAATCGGCACCCACGTATTAGTCACGGCGGTTGGTTTCTAATGGTAACAATTATCGATGTTTAATAATGACACACACAAACACATACACACAAATACATACACACACACACACACACACACACACACACACACACACACACACACACACACACACACTCACACACACCTCACACACACACACTCACACACACACACATACACACACACGAACACACACAGACACACGCCTCACACACACACACACACACACACACTCACACATACGCACACACACACACACATTCATATGTATATGTACGAACGCACACACTCACATACATATGTACAAACACAGAATTAAGATACATAAACACAGACAGACAGACAGACAGACAGACAGACACAGTTACCTGCACTCCAAGCTCCGCTACTTCAGCCATCCAGGTGTGTTTGTGACACCTGCGTTACCGTAAGAAAACACAGAACACAGTCGTCGTCTCCTCTGTACCTTTGTTACCTTTACCTGCCCAGGTGAGCCTCCTGTGTGTAAAAATAGACCTGAAAACATGAAAGAAGCCTGCCGCCCGAGTGACAGCTCAGCTGCCCTGTGCGTAACTAATGCAGTGTTGTGTGCGTGAATAGTCAGGTAAAGGGGTCACTGGTGACGCCTATAATTAATCAGTTATCATTACATCAGTGAACACCCTTTAGCCTCAGAGGCGGGTGCGATGTTTTGCTGATAATGACTTCTGTCATTATTTATGTATGACTTCAACATGACTCATACATAGTATTAAGTTCCAAATATACATGTACTGTGTACACTCTATACTACTAGTGATCTTTTGGAGGGTTGAGAATCTTTGTGCGTATGTACATGTGTTTGGGGGTAAAGGTGACGTGTGTTGGGGATTGGGGGGGGGGGGAGCGATGCTTCTAACTACTGCTATTTTTGTCCGCATTTGGTCTTGCCTATGGTAACGGACAGTTTTACATTCGAATTGCTCCATGTCCATGTTGGTAGTTGTGTATTTTTTAACACTGGGGTATAATTCCTGACTTCAATATGATACACATGTTGGCCTTCAAGCCCTAATCTAGGGGTCAAGGTGAGGGCTGGTCTGAAAGAAGCGCGGTTCATACACGCCGTTTAATGACAGACTTTATATTAATACTAGTACCACGTTGACACTTTAAGGCTAAAGCGCCCCCTGTCAGAAATGTCTGTCACGACAAGTTTCTACCCTGAGCGTTTAGTCGATCCATGACGTCACAGAAAGTCAGTGACCTGTCGAATACAATACCTAAATACTAGTACGATGTATAAAGTATGAATAAACACCTGTTGCATGGACAAAAGATGGTGTTGGAAGAGAAAACAATATGTTCTGACTAGCTCAACCTTAATTTTAAGCTTAAGCTTAGGATTATACAAGATTTGACGAAAGGTTGAAGTTCAAATGCCCATGTGAACATGCTCTCCACTGAGTATACCAACTCCCCCATAAACCACCTCTAGGGAGGCTATCAGAGGGTCCAACCTGATACTACATGGCCAGATTTTATAAACCTAACCAGATACGAGATAACCAAAGGTCAAGATTCAGAGGTCATTTTGTAATTTCGCGCTAGTAGTTTAGCCGGTCCGACAGGTGTGTTGGGGAGGTGTGTAGGGCACAAAACGGTTCCTTCAGGTGTCTTACTCTTACTATCCAGGTCTTGTCTACGTAACTTTCACTATGGAGAAAAAAGACCCGGTAAGTATGTTGCATATCTGTTATAAACTTAATGTGCACAATGTACTTAATCATGCCTGTTGACGGTATACGTATATGTGACGTATGGAACTGTGTGGGTGGGAGGGAGAGGGTACAATAGTGTATGTGTTTATACTAGTGTGCGGGTATGAATGTGTACGTGTGTATATATGTGCGTGTGTGTGTGTGTGTGTGTGTGTGTGTGTGTGCGTGCGTGTGTGAGTGCGTGTGTCTGTGTGTCTGTCTGTGTGTGTGTGTGTGTGTGTGTGTGTGCGTGCCTGTGTGTGTGAGTGCGTGTGTGTGTGTGTGTGTGTCTGTGTGTGTGAGTGTGTGTGTGTGTATGTGTATATATTTCATGGCATAAACATCAAATTACATGCATGTATCTAGCCGGTATGCTTTTATTCTATTTTCTAGAAGTAAATAATCCCCTTCCCTGTTCCCCCAGGACTGTGCGACGTTCCTGAAGCGGTACGGTTACCTGCCGTCAGAACGTCGCGCCCGCCACAGGAGGCGGAAAATGCCGACTCAGCAGAAAACTGATGACGTCAGGCAGAAACACGTGACGATCAGACGCCGTGACGCCATCAGGAGGAAACCCAGCCGAGGGGCGGTAAAACTGGCGCTCAGGCAGCTACAGGAGTTCGCCGGGCTGAGAAAAACAGGTATATGCTTTTGTTTATCCAGGGAGGTTAAGCTATTGTATTTAATCTCCTTGGTTTATCCAAGGTATATGCTTATGTTTATTCCAGGACATTATTATGTTTGCAGAACAAAAACATATTGTTTTTGCTCAGTTTCCTCTTCTTCTCCAGTGCCCTTTGACCTGGTCAATGATCTGAACCAGACCGCTCCTCACCAGGGTAACTGGTGTTGGGTTACATAATGTTGCCATTTTAGAGTAGAAGGGATTTAGACTCCTGTCGCCATATAATATTATGTGAATGTGTTTGAGTAAGAATTAACAGAGCAGACCATATCTCTCTAACTTTTGTCACTTAATTGCAGGAAAATTCGACCAACAAACTCGTGAGCTGATGACGAGAAAACGGTGCACGCGTGCTGACCCCGTCTCCATGGTGATGACCCGTAGCACCAGAAGTGCCACAGGTGACGTCATGGAGAACACGGGGACCGTCCAACCGTGGCAGAAGAGGGATCTGACGTACCGCATCAACCAGTACCCGGGGGAGAACCATTTGTTACCCAGTGAGGTGGACGAAGTTATCGCCCGAGCTTTCCAGGTACGGGGTGGTGGAAATTCTTTATTTTTCCTCGTTTATAAACAAATATTGACAAACAATCTGTAAGTGATTTTGGCATCATTATACTTCCCTGTGGATGCATGTCTACTAGCCTGGTTATTAAAACTATTATAGCTCCCGAGTCCTACATCCTCTCCGCAAATCTGTAGGATCCGAGGATGTAGGACTCAGGAGCTATAGTAGGTTTGGTAACCAGGCTACATTACTACAACATGGACAATTCTTAACATGGACAAAAAAGTATTGCTATTGTATTACAGTTTACAGTTTTATTAAGACATTTAGCCTCAAAATCCCGAAGTGTGCATTATACAAATGTTTTAACAAAAACGAAGAATAGGTATCAAGATGATAGCTAAGTCTTGTCCTTTACATACAGACCTGGGAAGAAGTGTGCCCTCTGACCTTCCAAGCCATCGACAACGAGGCTGACATCGAGATCAAGTTCAGCCGCGGTAACCATGGCGACGACACGCCCTTCGACGGCGCCGGGCACACTCTGGCGCATGCGTACTCGCCCGGGGAGGGTATCCATGGAGACGTGCACTTTGATGATGCCGAAATGTGGACGGCTGACTCCCCTATGGGTAAGCTCTCCATTCAAACCACGTGTTTGCACCCACGTGACTGTGACGTCATGACTGTCCGCCATGTTGGGTGCTTACACCTGGAAGCTGTTAGGTTAAGTTTGCCTCTACCAGGCGTAAAAAGCGGCAGTAGTAGAGGGTAAAATTTGCCAACTAGACAGATGTAATGTGTGTCTGTGTTTGTGGAGGGGGGGGGGACTTGAAAGGGGTACATTTGCAGCTCCAGAACTGGACCAACCATGAATCATTATAAAATCAGGTTACATACGTCTGACTTTCTAAGGTTTAACTAACCAGCTAACATCATGCACCAAGGTCATATCATCATATTTGCGATTCGAATTTTGTACAATGACAAGTTTTCTAGATCTGACACTGGATATTTTCAGCTACTGAACTGCTCTTAAATTAATTTAACCCGTTCACACTGACTCTCCGCAGGTACAAACCTGTACATGGTGGCGCTGCACGAGTTCGGACACAGCCTCGGTCTGGTGCACTCAGACAACGCCGACTCCGTCATGTTTCCATGGTACCCGGGTTACCAGGGGTCATCCTACACTCTTCCCGCGGTTGACGTCACGGCCATCCAGGCCTTATATGGTGGTGAGGTTTAGTGTGTCTTATTGTGTCATTCGACAACAAAGTTTTGCTATAGGGCTGTTGGGCTTTGAAGAGTTATATTTCTACATTTTCATGTGACTTAAATGATTGGATATAAAATTAGATAGATTATGCATTTGACCGTTTGAGGATAAAAATTTGCATTTACCTTTTTGTTTGTTTTTTTTCTTTCAGAAAGCTGAAGACGCAAATGGTTGAACGAGGAAAGAATGTCTAACCCTCATCATCATCATCTAACCTTCGAACTCGCAAACTGGATTTTTCCTTATCTTTAAAGAAAATGAAGTTATTTTGCTCTTAAGATACTTAAAACTACACACACACACACACACACATTATATGGATAAATTAGATTAGATTAGATTAGATAGATAGATAGATAGATAGATAGATGATAGATAGATAGATAGATAGATAGGTAGATTAGATAGATAGATAGATTATTGATAGATAGATAGATAGATAGATAGATAGATAGATAGATAGATAGATAGATAGATAGATAGATAGATAGATAGATAGTAGTAGATAAATAGATGAATAGATTATAAGATATTAGATACTTGTATATAGATATAAATATATGTTGGGTTTGGTAAATCAATAGGTGGTTATCAAAGTTCTTTGTACACGACCAATGTATTACCCGCTAACGTTCATAGTAAAGTATAAATACTGACTTGTTCTTCTTCGCGATGTAGCTAGGTGTCGCTGCTGCCGTGTAAACAATGCGGTCCCAAACGCGACTGACTGAAGGGTTGCAAACTCAATCACGTTCAAAACCGCATGAGACATTAACATAGAAATTGCTAACTCTTGCGGAATAATGTTTTAGGCTTCTCAAATAATCTACTTCTTTAAAAATGATAACAGAATCAAGGCAAACACAATATATGCAACATCAAACCTTGTGATACGTTGTGATTTATAGTAAATATAATAAGTTACAACTTATTACAACTTGCGCTGCAGGGTCAAAGTAATCTCCGAGCAAATCCTAGCTAGGGTGGCAAAAGACAGTATCAAATTGACCAGGCAGTATCCATTGCTAGAGAGGGTCGTTGGATGGCGTATGGACCCTCCCTGCCAATGGATACTACCTGGCCAATTTGATACTGTCTTTTGCCACCCTAGGATCTGCTTGGAGATTAAGGTCAAAGAACGCTTTTAGCAAACATGTGACATCATCGCCATCACGTGACTTTACGGCAAACACGTGACGTCACATCAATCATGTGATGGTCATGCCACCTGTTGAGGTTACGCAATAGTAACACAATATCCCAGCATTCCTCTGCATTGAGAATGAAATACCAACACTCAAGATAACGTTCAAGACCTTGTGGGAATCTGAGCCATCTTTTAAAAAGTTATTTCGACCTTTCTGCCGTCCCAAGGTTATGATAATGGATAATGGAACATCTTAATGTAGCCTAAAGTAACTTCTGGGTACAATCTGAGTAAGTACGATCACGGTATCGCCGTAGTTATGACCTCATCATAACAACTCACTGGTAATTATTAACGTATGTTACCCGACCTTCCCTGCGAAAACGCTGACGTGGACACGACACGGCCCTTTTGTTACACCCAGCTTCCTGTGACGAAAAGAGGCTAACACTCTTACAAAAAGTGAGTAAATCTTGCAGTAAATCCAAAGTGGCAAAGAGGCTAAGGTGGCACAGGCTACGGTATTACTTGACGCCACGATTATCGCCTCTTACAAAATACTGCCAGGGGCATGGCTAGTTGAATGTAATTAGACGTTAGAAAGCCTCTCGTTATTCTTATTTACCTTCCACAAACATATGCTGTGAAGCACATAACACTATTAATCTTGACAGAAGACCATACAAAGACTTTGGCAAGGGTACTGCTGCGAGTTTGTCATACAAGTTCATGCATGGCAACACCTTTTATCACGGTTTGTATACGTATTGCATGGTGTACCTGCCCTACCATGGCAACATCTTACGTCAAGCCGGATTATGTTTGCTGGCATCGCTTGGCGTAACGTTAACACGTAGGGAGATTTTCCCTCTCACCCACAGCCGACATTTGCGGAAAAGAGGCTTTCTTAGGACGAAACGTGAGTGCGGTTTCCAGTGTTCTTACTGTGAACCTCGAAAATTAGTCTGAATGTGTCAAAATTGTTGTAGTGCAGTGTTATTAACGTCAGGGAGGACAAAATATTCATACGAGTTTAGCAGGACGAGACAATGGAAAGGGTGTGTCAAGGGAAAGGTTCAAATTTTAGAATGTTTAACGTTAAAATATAACAGTACGAGTTTGTTTGTTTGTTTTCTTTAAGGAACTACTACTAAATAAAGCTTGAAGTGAAGGCCCACCCCTTTAACTCGTAACGTATACGTACTTGCGTGACCCAAAAGGTTTCAGAGGGTGATGGACTGGGAAAATCAAATTACTGTGACTAAACAAAAGTGATGACTTTTTCATTAATTTATTGCCAGGTAAGTCTTAATTAAGAAAATATTACATAAAACTTGACTCGGGTCTCGGACGTCGTATGAATAAGGTCAAGGATAAAGGAGAAATATAAGTTAATGAGGATTTCCTTCTCCTTCATGCGAGACTGCCCTCCGCCCTAAATAAAGTCTGTGAATAATAAATCACTGGAATATATCGATGATGTATGCATTCATGGTCTATGGTTATCCCATAATTTGAAATGGGATCAAGCCCGTTGAATCAATTAAAAGTAAAGCAAGCTCTCGACTCTTCTTGGTGAAAAGAATAAAACGCTCTGGGTCCGTTTTAAGTGACCTTTGGTGTCTTTTGTCTAGTCTATCTATATACATTGTACGTCCTATTCTAGAATATGCAGCTCCCGTATGGACATCAAGCATTACGCCAAACCAAACTAGACAGATTGAGTGTATACAAAAACATGCATTACGGATAATTCTCGGTCCCCGCTACAACACCCTATTCATATCTCCCCTCCCTTGAAGAGTAAAGAGAAGCCCTAAGTGGCCTTTTCACCAGATCTCTCCTCAATTCCCAGTTCAGATTACAACCTCCCGTAAGGAAACCCACAGTAGAAGCTGCAAGGGGTCCAACCAGGTGATTTTCCCACTTTGCAGAACAAATCGATATAGTAGCAGCCCAATTTCGAACAATCAAGAACCAAATCAATACACATTATATAGAGGAGGGTTTAGGATTGACAACTCTTAGTATGGTGACATGTAACATGTTCCCTTTTAGTCGTCACCAATCACGTGTCTTTCTGCGTACTTTGTTTGAGTTAAGTGGAATTTTTTTGCTATTTTATCAACTGTTTGGCCTTACCTGTTCCGCTTGATGCTTTAAAATTTCTAAATGCTGTCGGAAATAACTATCAAGGCCAGACTTATCAAGAACGCGATACCAACCAGTAATAACTAAGTAAGAACTTAAACTCTAACGCATGCTTTTGCACTCTTTGGGTGATCATTATTGTCATCTGCGTTATATGGAAACGTGTTCAAAAGTAATCATAATGTATGTATTTTAGAACCGACATATCATGTGAGGTCGCCATTTGTTAGTGTGTAAACAGCAGGGTGTGAGGTTACGTCCCCATTATGCCCTGTGGTGACACAAACAAAGGCCCGTTTAATACAGCCCACATTCAACACACAGCCTTACAAAGGATTTCATTCAGTCTATGCACTGCATTCACTAATTTGGAGGTTTCTTGGGGAGACAGACATTGTCGCTGTTCATACATTTTGCCAAGGAGTCGTTCAGGACATCCCGTGGCACTCGAACATCCCTGACAACCTTGTATCATACTCCGTTAACGGATGGGCTGTGTGGGATGGGGGGGGGGGGGGGTAACATCATGTATATATCTGGTCTTTCATGACAAATAACGTTACTAGTTGCTTGTTCATTCATAGGCTGATCCTCAGATCTGACGCATCGACGCTCCTGTTCTGTTTCATAAACCTCCGATCAGCTATATCAGTCCTAGCTTTATGCGACATAGAGGTTAGCGCCAGCCACATTGCCGTCAGCACAGTGTCAACAACCTTTCCCTAGGTTTCACAGTTTAACATATCTGTTTAAGGGCAGAGGGGTGAGGGGGGCAGCTAAGTAACAACTAATGTTCCCTTTCAGGCACTATCGCTATAAATCGCTATAAACAACTGCCTTCCCTGTCTTTGACGAAACTATAATTATGATATATTTAGATTCTGAAGTTTAGGGGTCGACCGAATAGAATTATCCCCAATTAATTATATTAGATTGGTTAAGACGCCGTAATTTTATAGAAAGTGTAACAAATGGTAGATAATTATCATAACTGGTCTCAGATATTAGCATTTTAACCACCTAAACGTACCATTATGCCGGGGAGTGGACTCTGTTTACAAACATGTGCAGCATGTTTCTTTGTTGAATGAAGATGTTTACCTCGGTCTTCCTTTAACTAAGTCCTTGCAGAGTGGTTGTTGTGTGGCATGTTAAAGTTTATTCATTCCTGTATTACAGGTTTGGCGTACATTGGTGAGGACTCCTTGTCTAGTCTTTGAAAAGTCTACGAAAACAAGACTTGGCCAAGGCAGCTAAACGTATTGAGCAGGAACACGATATGGAAGGTAGGTGTTTGTTGAAAAGCAGTTACATACGTATGGAGACTTGCTTCTTGTGTAACAAATTATACTGATTATGATTGACTAAAATTTGTCCATTAAACTACCAATGACCCATGGGTTTCAAGCCACCCATCTATCCACACTTCGGAATTTTCTTTACACCCAAACAGACAGTGAACCCCAGGATTCAGACAACATTATTCAAGACACCAGTGCACCAGAAGACAATGGATCAAACGACAGCGGACCAGAGGAAACGGAAGTAAAATCTGTCCTCAACCCAGAGGGAGCATCGGACACGGCAGGTCAGCTATCTTCTACTGAGAGAAAAAAAATATGTAAATACATAACATGTTCATAACTATCATGATTGAAAGATAACACCCATAATAGTTAAGTTGCACACTAAGTAGAAACTCTTTTAACAATAGTAAGTATAATAATATGATAGCGCTACTTTGACAGATCCAAATGTGAAGTTCAGTAGAGAAGCACTGGCGCCTTCGAATAGCAGCATTGTACTACTTTCTACAATTTGATAAAATACCGAATTGATAACTGTTAATAAACATTATGAGCTAAATACCTCGCTATCGCTTATTCACAGAAACACTGTTTATGGCCAGAAATTTGAGACGGATGGATGGAGAAAACCAGGTTTACGTCAGACGTCGACTAGCTCAGAAATTGGAGCGGCAACAAGAGGACCTAAAGAAAAAGCAAGAAAGTGAGAACAAGACAAAACCCCAAAATGCGGGCAATGCCCATGGGTCAAATTGTAAACTGCTGATCATGACTTGCTTTCTTCTTCCTTCTCTGCTTCTAGCAATAGTCTGCCTGTTGTCGTCATTAATTAGAAATGAAAAAGAACTCAATTATTACATGCTGGGATTGTCTAACTTCGAGATGGGGCAGTATGAGTCAGCCTTGTGGTGGTTTCTTAAGGACCTAGAGGTACAAGAAGCTATAGAAGATGAGGCAGCCCAGATAAATGCGCGCGTAGGTGTAGCTGATGCATACAGGCTACTAGGCAAAACAGACCAGGCAACATTCCAATTCAACACAGCCTTACAGCTGGCACAGCTGACAGGGAATCTACATGGACAGATGCAGGTTTACTTCTCGATGGGTGACATGGAGAAGGAACAATTCCACTCCCCACGTACAGCCATCCAGTATTATGAACAGGCTCTCGCACTAGCCAAGCACTTGGAGGACAGCGGCGAGAAGGGATGGGCCTACAATAAAATGGAATGGGTCTACTTGACGTTGGAGACGTTTAAGGCAGCACTGAGGGGCAAGAAGCACCTGAGGGTGAGTCGAAAAAGCAAAGACAAGAAGGGACAGATAACAGCACACACAAAAGTTGGTGACGCTTTCAGGGAACTGGGAAAACTGGATCAGGCAATATATAACTTCGATACGGCTCTACAGCTGGCACAGCAGACAGGGGATCTACATGGACAGATGCAGGTTTACTTCTTTATGGCTGATATGCAGAGGGAACAACTCCACTACCCACGTACAGCCATCCAGTATTATGAACAGGCTCTCGCACTAGCCGGAAAATTTGGGGGACATTCGCAAAGAAAGAATGGCTTATATCAAGCTGGGACTGGCAAACTACGAAAATAAAGAGTATGAAACAGCACTGGAGTGGGACCAAAAGTTTCTAATGATTAGCCAAAACAATGGAAACAAGATTAAAGAGATAACAGCGCATAAAAACGCGGTTGATTCCTACAAGGCATTGGGTAGACCGGACCAGGCCAGATATCACTATCAGTCAGCCCTGACAATCGCCAAGGAAACAGGAAACAAACAGGAACAGATGAACATTTACCTCGGCCTGGGTGATTTACACAGGAAACAGCTACATGAACCACAGGAATCACACAAGTACTACACAGAGATGTTGGCCCTGGCTAAAGACTTGGGGAATAAGGACGATGAGAGGCTGGCTTATAACAGACTCGGACTGGCTTGTAAGGACATGCAAAAAAAAGAGGCAGCTGTGGAGTGGCATCAGAAGGCCCTGGTGATGAGCCAAGAGAACAAAAACAAGAGTGCACAGATAACAGCACATCAAAACGTAGCTGGTTCCTACCAGGCACTGGGTAAACTGGACCAGGCCAGATCCCACTATCAATCAGCCATAAACATCGCAATAGAAATAGGAAACAAACAGGAACAGATGGACATTTACCTCGGCCTGGGTGATTTACACAGGGAACAGCTACATGAACCACATGAATCACACAAGTGCTACACAGAGATGTTGACTCTGGCTAAAGACTTGAAGAGGAAGAACATGGAGAGACTGGCTTACAACAGACTCGGACTGGCTTGTGGGGACATGCAGGATAACGAGGCAGCTCTGGAGTGGCATCAGAAGAACCTGATGTTGAGCAAAGAGCATGAAAACAAGAACGAACCGCTAATAGCACACAAAAACACAGCGCGTTCTTACCAGGCACTGAGTAAACCGGACCAGGCCAGATCTCACTTTCAATCAGCCCTAGACATCGCCATGGAGACAGGAAACAAACAGGAACAGATTGACATTTACCTCGGCCTGGGTGACTTACACAGAGAACAGCTACATGAACCACAGGAATCACACAAGTACTACACAGAGATGTTGGCACTGGCTAAGGAGATAGAAAGTAAGGAAGATGAGAGACTGGCTTACGGCAGACTCGGGGTGGCTTGTGAGGTCATGCAGGATAACGAGGCAGCTCTGGGGTGGTATCAGAAGTATCTGGAGATGAGCCAAACGGGTGAAGACAAGACTGAACAGATAACAGTACACAAAAGAATAGCTGCTTCCTACCAGGCACTGGGTAAACTGGACCAGGCCAGATCTCACTATCAGTCAGCCCTGGACATTGCCATGGAGACAGGAAACAAACAGAAACAGGAGGACATCACTAAGAGTCTCGCTAATCTGTAATTGTATGGAAATCAGTATAGAAAAAGTGTGGTTTCCGTAACACAGTCCGTAATGTACCTTGTAGGTAAACTTATCTTTAGTAGTAATCAATCTATCTTAATTAGAATTCAAGATGTTGCTATGTTGCATATGTAAATACAAGCTGTTGACAAATTGTATATGCTTATATATGGAATAGCTTTCGGGAGAAAATGATATTTTGATCATTTTCAATGTGTTGTAAAAACTACCTGTAGCATATAATGTATACCTGTAGCCTTTAACATATATCGTTTATCAAACGTAAATTCTACGCCAAGAAAAGTGATTTTATGATAATCATTTAGCTTAAAAGGAAAGATAGCTGGATTCACACATATTAAGTCATCTCTGTAGATGTCACAAAACTTATGGTGAAAATACCATATATACAATATATCTTGATGAGTCGTCAATAACATATAGAATACATATAGAATAGAGCAGATATAGCATCTTTCATCTTATTTTTACCGATTTTACCAATCTATTAAATGTTTTATAATGTTATAGTGTGTTATCGTAGACTATGGATATCCTAATTTATAATTATCCTAAAATTGCAGACATGTGACAAGTACATCAGAAATGTTTAATGCTAAACGCTGAAATGATCTACGTGTCGCAGTTAGATTTATTATTATTGTTTCCCATTTACAACTAAATAAAGCTTCATAGCGGGCTCAATTTGTACTCTTTCTTTACTTCTTGCTTTCTTTATAACTTCAAAGCTGTAAGGGCTCCCAGTTACGTGTCTTACCTAAATATTGGCTGAATAGTCCTATCAACAAACTACGATACACTGGTCATGAGTTTTATCTACTTTATTTTACATTGTGAATATTTTGAGGGTACGAAGCGCACTTTCCGAACCGGGTCGATTGTTACAATTTACAGCCATGATAGAAAATACTCACCAAAGTAAATCTCACACAAAGTAAAACATGTTGAGAACAATTGGGTCAAACATGACAATGACCATATATACTCTCGAAAAACTGTACATTCTGCTTTGATACTACTACATTGTCAATCTGTGCTGATGAGAAAGCCGTTATAGGTTTGCCATTGAAAGATTAATCTGGATAGCGGACGCAACAAAGTTTCGTATTCCTATCAACGGCATATCAATTTTCGAAAGACGAAATTCTTACCACAAATAACGATCTGACACACTTGAGAAGAAACTGTCGCTAGCAATATTAAATATATGTTTTGATAGCCGATACAAAAACATATAAATCATATACAGCAAACAAAGGTAGAATTTATCAGTACGTTTGTTCAACGAGTCCGCTTCCATCAAATTTCTGAATGAACAAAGCCCTCCTCCAGAATGATAGTCTGGCCAAGGGCCAAACACAGAAGTGACATCTTACCTACGTCAACCCGGCATGCCCTGCGGCAACTTCTTCTGTTGTGTACTTGTGCATGAGTCCGCCGCCATCATGTTTCACTGCTGCCTGTAAACTGAACATCCAGAGAACTGCAGCCCTTGCGAAGGTAAGTATATAAAGAACCCGTTATAATGTCTTCAGTTTTACTGTTAATCTGTTACAGAAAATGGGCTGAATTGAAACTACTAAAGACATTCATTTTAAGAAAGCCATTTCGGAAACGTACACTGATTTCCTAGCTTGCTGAAATCTCATCTAGTCACCCCCATCCCAAACCTGACTTCTTTGTCTAGAAAATTGCACAATTCAGGACTGATTACCAACCCCCCTTCCGCTATTCAGTATATCATTCAAAGTACTAATAGATCTCTATTTTGGCCCTCTTAACGACATAACTAACTTTAAAAAGAATTAATAGTTACAGGTTTAGATGATTTAGTTGTGGCTTAATAAATATATAGGTTATAGTAAATATAAATTTTCCACATATACAGTTGATTTTGTATCAATGAAACTCTTCCTTGACATGAATACAGATCATCAGTAATGACGTGGCAAATTCGCCGACCTATGACCTTGTAGCACTACGTTGTTTGCGCACAAAAAAAGTCGTCCAACAACTCTCGGACCATACCAACTCTGTTCACGGGTGGGAGCGGCAGCCAGCTCGGTCAACAACTAAAACCTTCCCTTCCTGTCGTCACAAATATCGTGAGTTTTTGCTTTTGATCATGTTAAATTTTTCGTGTTCAAGAGTGGGAAGTGCCTCTGCTGTAGTACGAACCACCTTTTTGATTAATTGTTTTGTAAACTGTTTAGATATCGTTTAACAAGATGGCTACCCGTTAATAGGCAGCACGACTAATTAGATGAACGTACAAAAGACTGGCTTCACGTTACATACAATTGATTCCATGATTTTTCTCACATTTCAATGCTTTAAGATTGATCTGAGCTTTTTTGTGTATGTCATTCGGCTTGGCTTTGTCTCTTCCACAAATCCAGCAGACCTACGTTATATACTAGTACCATGTTTGCACATAAGGTCTAAAGCGCCCCCTACCAGGAACACCCGTTACTACAAGTGCCTGCTATAGTGTTCGTGACGTCATTGCCATAAGAGTACAGTGAAGTTACTAAAACCAAAAACCTGCCCTGTCTAACAATGTTAATATTAGTAGTATCTAAAACAAAAAGACAATGTTTCTATGGACAAAACTAAAGGTCAACGATCCGATTATACGCTGCGAGTAACGCTTGTCTCTAGTAATGGCACCTACATGACCTGCTTGTTTGTTTGTTTCTTTGTTTCTTTGTTAATCTTTAACACTTCGCTTGGGGGTACCTGCTTTCGATACTAGATAGGCCTTGACTGTCGTCAAGAGATCTATCTATAAACCATATACTACTACTTTAATTTCATATTTCTATTCAACTTTCCGTCTTTGAGCTGATGAGCAATATTAGCATATAGCATTTCTGTATTCCAGGTAAGGAACAACCATGGCTCAACTTTCAAGACTTGCCAAATTGTTTGTCAAGATTTCGGACAACCTGACAGAAGAAGACGTCAGGAGTCTTAAGGCTTTGCTGTCTATTGAAGAAGTTCTTGGCAGGGCAAAAATTGAGAAAGCAACACCTCTAGAAATCTTCGATATGCTGGTAGAAAATAAAACTATCGCCAAAGGGAACCTGGGCTTCCTTGTGCAGGTTCTAAAAAGTCTCAGAAAGGGAAAGTTGGCAGAAAAAGCTGAACGTCTGGAGCAAGAACAGAGAATGGAAGGTAGGTATTAAGTTTAAAACTCAAGGTAACTCCAATACCGAAGGTTATAGTAAGATATATTTGAAAACGAATTGTTAAAAAAAACACTCATGATAAAATATCCAGACTTATTGTCTTTACGGAATGACTGATTACCGAGTCAATTGACCCCACTTCCAACTTGCAATAGCTATCGCAGAGCCACCTGTCATTAACGTTTTATTCTATTGTTCTATTCATTTCTATAGCAGCCCAACCTGAAGAAACAACCCCCTCACAACGAGTAGATGACACTGAAGCAAATAATATTCATCAGGTGACATCTCGCCTCCACACAGCCTTACAGCTGGCACAGCAGACAGGGGATCTACAGGAGAAGATGCAAATTTACTTCAAGAAGGGTGACATGCAGAGGGAACAACTCCACTCCCCACGTACAGCCATCCAGTATTATGAACAGCACCTCGCACTAGCCAGGCAGTTGGGGGACAGGCGTCAGGAGGGATGGGCTTACAACAGGCTGGGAATGGCCTATTCTGACATGGGGGAGTATGAGACAGCTTTGAAGTACCATCGGCAATACCTGAAGATAGTCCTAGAAAGCGGAGACCAGAAAGAGCAGACAAAGGCACACACAAATGTGGGTGAATCATACAGGTTACTGGGAAAACTGAACCAGGCAACATCCCACTTTAACACAGCCTTACAGCTGGTACAGCAGACAAGGGATCTACAGGAGGAGATGGAAATTTACTTCAAGAAGGGTGACATGCAGAGGGTACAACTCCACTCCCCACGTACAGCCATACAGTATTATGAACAGCATCTCGCACTAGCCAGGCAGTTGGGGGACAGGCGTGAGGAGGGACTGGCTTACAACAGGTTGGGACACGCCTATTCTGACATGGGGGAGTATGAGACAGCTCTAAAGTACAATCGGCAACATCTGAAGATAATCCAAGAAAGCGGAGACAAGAAAGAGCAGAGACAGGCACACACAAATGTGGGCGATTCATACAGGTCACTTGGCAAAACGGACCAGGCAACATCCCACTTCCACACAGCCTTACAGCTGGCACAGCAGACAGGGGACCTACATGGACAGATGGATGTTTACTTTAATATGGGTGACATGCAGAGGGAACAACTCCACTCCCCACGCACAGCCATCCAGTATTATGAACAGTACCTCGCACTAGCCAGGCAGTTGGGGGACAGGCGTGAGGAGGGATGGGCTTACAGCAGGCTAGGACAGGCCCATTCTGATATGGGGAAGCACCAAGAAGCCCTCGAGTGGTTCCAGAAATCCCTAAAAAAATTGGATGGTGACAAAAAGGAGCAAATACGACTGCACGCCTGTGTGGGTAATGAATACAGAAACCTGGGTAAACTGGACCAGGCAACATCCCACCTCGACACAGCCTTACAGCTGGCACAGCAGACAGGGGATCTACATTTGGAGATGAATGTTTACTGTAAGATGGGGGACTTGCAGAGGGAACAACTCCACTCCCCACGCACAGCCATCCAGTATTATGAACAGCACCTCGCACTGGCCAGGCAGTTGGGGAACAGGCATGAGGAGGGAGTGGCTTACAACAGGTTGGGACTGGCCCAGTATAAGATGGGAAAGTATAAAGCCGCGGTGGAGTGGCATCAGAAGGACCTTCAGATAAACCAGGAAAGTGGACACAACATTGCACAGATATTAGCACATAAAAACATGGCTGACTCCTACAAAGCGATGGATAAATTGGACCAGGTCAGATCTCACTACCAGTCAGCCCTGACCATCGCCACGGAGACAGGAAACAAACAGGAACAGATGGACATTTACCTCAGCCTGGGTGATTTACACAGGGAACAGCTGCATGAACCACAGGAATCACACAAGTACTACACAGAGATGTTGGCTCTAGCTAAAGACTTGGAGAGGAAGGGCAAGGAGGGGCAGGCTTACAACAGACTCGGACTGGCTTGTGATGACATGCAGGATAACGAGGCAGCTCTGGAGTGGTATCAGAAGAGCCTGATGATGGATCAAGAGGATGAAAACAAAACTGACCAGTTAGCAGCACATAAAAACATAGCTCGTTCTTACCAGGCACTGGGTAAACTGGACAAGGCCAGATCTCACTATCAATCAGCTCTGGCTATCGCCAAGGAGACAGGAAACAAACAAGCACAGAAGGACATAAACCTCGGCCTGGGTGATTTACACAGGAAACAGCTACATGAACCACAGGAATCACACAAGTACTACACAGAGATGTTGGAGCTAGCTAAAGACTTGGGGAGAAAGGACAAGGAGGGACTGGCTTACAACAGACTCGGACTTGTATGTGAGGGCATGCAGGATAACGAGGCAGCTCTGGAGTGGCATCAGAAGCACCTGAAGATGAGCGAAGAGGATGAAAACAAAACTGAACAGTTAACAGCACACCGATGCATAGCTCGTTCTTACCAGGAACTGGGTAAACTGGAGCAGGCCAGATCTCACTATCAGTTAGCCCTGATCATCGCCAAGGAGACAGGAAACAAACAAGCACAGAAGGACATAAAGAAGAAGATGGAAGCATTCAAAAGCTGCAGTATTATGTAGGGAATGACCTGTAACAGTGCAAATAGAGGGACAAAGTTTCAGCTGCAGAACTCCATGATTAAATTTGGGTGACATTTAGGGCACATGTGCCTCTTTTTTCAGAGATAAAAATCATGAAATAGGCAAATTCATGACGGTCTTATACCAAAATCATGGCTAATTTGCTAGCTATAGTAAAGCAATAACAGCCGTGGACATAATTTTAATTTCACATATAAAAAAATGTCTTTAAACTTCATGAATCTGCATATAGAAAACCGTATGTATTCTTTAACATAGTCCTTAAAGTACCATGTAGACTTGAAGTGGTGAATTTAAGGTGTTGCTATGTTGTAGACGATTCCTGAGGGAACACTCTACATAATCTAACTTAAATATCATTAAACAGAACGAAATGGTATTTCAGTGATTCCAAATGCGGCGCATAAACTGTTTGTAGCACAAGAATCAGACGTAAACATGCTGAACAAACTTTCTTTCACAAGACAACAGATGTTATAATTACCATATAGCTTTAACATAGCCGAATTGAATCATGTCTGTACAAAATGTACATATTACAAAACTAAAGGTGAAATATCGTATGTTGTCATGTGTCGTTATTCCATAAGGGGAGTGGGTGAAGTAATGATGATACTTTTGAGTATTGAAATTTCTTTATCTATCTTTACTCATTATGATACACGCTGAAAACTCGAAGCACAGCTCTTAAACACCGTTACATTGCCTTGATAATAATATTATCGCAAAAGAACAATAGCACATCGATCTGATCAAAGAAAACAAGAGAACATTTTGTTCAAATATGAGCATGACCAAGGATACTTTAAAGAAATAGCCTTTTTTTGTCCTTCTGTTTGTCTGAAAATGAATTCTGCGTCGATACTTAGTCTTACTAACAAATTATCAGTCTGTGCTATGATAAAGCTGTTTAACTTGAAATGTCGGTGGAAGCTGTAGCACATTCTGAGTCCGCATGATGGTACTGTTACTAAGGTACCTGCAGTACAAACTTTGACCGCACGGAGGCAGTTAATGCTATCAGTCTGCGGTAATGAAAAAGCCGTTAAACATGAGATTTCAGTGGAAGCTACTTTCTGCATAGTGGCGATTTTAGAGCTGCATGTTTGCGCTGATGAGAAACTCTTAAAAGTGATGTGCCGATGGAAGCTGCTGAACAGACTGTGTCCGCCTGGTGGCGCTGTTACTGTAGTACAAACCGTGTCCGCATAGAGTCGCTGTTACTGCTGCATGTCTGGTGTAATGAGGAAGCCGCTAAACGCAAGGTGCCGATGGAAGCTACTGAACAGACTGTGTCCTCCCTCCGCCAGCTCCACCCAGACCTGCTGTCCCGCCTGCAGCCGCACGATGGCGCTGTTGCTGCTGGCCTGGTGCTCCTGGAAGGTAGCAGAACACAATTTTCGCCCTATGGGGATTTCTATAGTTAAGGACCCCAAGATGACTCACATCGACGCGGTAAAAATTATAGTAGGGTGCACTTCACAGATACGAAAATCGAATATGTTTGAGAAGAAGGTATAAACTACAAAATATTTAGAAACCAAAAAATCCTGTCGGCGTATCTGCTCGTAACGTACACTTTGAAATCGCCCTCTACGGACGTGACCTGAACTGCAGCCGACTCACCCGGAAAGCCAGTTGCGCAATACGGTGCATTTATACACGAACTGCAAAGCCTTCACAAATCAAATCATACAGTCTCAAACCCGATACATTCCTACACTACACAGCGCAATTTACGTCTGGCTGACGCTCTTATCAGGCTTTCTACCCAGCCTTCAAGAACCAACCACCAGCCTGTGAGCTTGGATCTTGGTGTAGTGTTTGTTACTATGTGTATTTTTGTCAGCATATTTAGCACATGTGGTATGTACAATTGTTTTGTAACAAACTTACGCAATTCAGGGGATATGGACATGTATATGTGTGTATTTACCTGTCAATGTATGTTTGAAGAAGAAATAAATAAAAAAAATAATAAATATTCGCTGTACTATTTTCTATGCTCTCGCTACCTGGAAGGGCCCGCTGTCTTCCGTCAGCCCGACCACCAGCTGCCCGTCCCGAACCAGCCGCAGCAGGTAGCTCGCGTTGCTAAGGAACCGCGTCACGCCGTTGAACGTGAAGAAGTACACGCCGCCGACCCCGGCCGTGAACTTGGATGACCCCTTGTCGAACCCCCCTCCCACGTTCGTCAGCACCACGTTGTACGGCACCACCTTACAACAAACAAACAAACAAACAAACGTTAATTCATTACGATATATAATAACATAAAAGGACAAGATGGTGGCATACTCAAGCTCAAGGCTTATGTTCGTGTCGTCATCGAACATTACAGAAGTAAGTCAAAACAAATACAGATATGCAAAGCATACGGATAACAAAGCACAATAAGGTTCCAACGTATAGCCGTGATCATAAAAAATATAGGGAAATGATAAGGAGGCGTTATATGCAGGTAAATTTTAACTAGGAACTCCACGTCAAACTGTAGGATAAGAAAATTAGTTGCTAGAATCTTCTGCTGGTTTCTTTTATAAATGCTTGAACGCATTGTAAAAGTTTTGTGTTATTGATGATGATGATGAACTTTATTGCTCGACAGTTGTACATGGTACAATGTATGACAACAATAACAATGTGAACAATACAATCAAGTCTATTCTAAGAGACTACTAGTATTACTACAGGAATGTGTACTTAAATGACACATGACATGATGTGTACTAGGCGTTGCTATCTGTTACAATACTTTCTCTCTTTTGTAGTGCACTACACTGAATGCGATAAAAATGAAGAACCTCTAAGAAGCAGACTTTACACACCTTGCTGGATGACGCCGACGTCGCCAAGCCGTCCGTTCGCGCCACGGAGAACGCCACCACTGTACGGGCAGGTGCGTCGTCGCCAGGTGTTCCCTTCTCACCTGCGGGGCCGCGCGCGCCTCTCTTCCCCACCTCACCTGCCGGTCCGACTGGGCCTGGCTCACCTGGGCCACCTGACGCACCCTGAACACCTGCCGAGCCGGGGTGACCTGAAAAAAGGTAAATTGCAATATAACGTCTTCGCCACATTGGTGCATATTTCTAATCTCCAAGCAGATCCCTTTCCGTGGCAAGACAGTATCCATTAGCCAGAGACATGAGGGAAGGTCGCCGGCCACCGACGGGTGGCGGTAGCGACAAAAAAAAAAGGCCATATATAAAAAAAAAAAAACTACACGATCATTCCCCCACAACCTCTGCTTGGAGAGTACATATTTCGCACACAATCAACACACACTTTCGAGCCAAATTAATACCACTGTTTACTGCTATACGTCGATTAAAGAGATATAAACACGAATACATGCAAGTACTTGAATGTACATGTACAAACACAGGTACAAATTCGGATATACATACAGATGCAGACACTGCCTGACACATATGCATGCATCTACACCGGTCTCTATGTCGAGAGTATACAGGCACAGATATCCATATACTAATACATAGAATACATATACGGACAGATATAACACTTCACTCAACGTAGCTGTTATGCGTAGGAACAATCTGTAACACGGATATGTACTTAAAACAGGCAACGCAATATATAACGTAGCGAACCTCTATCCCCCATAGCGCCCTTGTGTCCTTGCGGTCCCGGCAGAGCTAACACCGTGATGTTCTGGTCGTTATGAACCCTCGAACAGGAGCCTTCCTCCACTGTGCCTGCCCACTGGGCCTGGGACGCCAAGGAACCAAGGAGAACAAGAAAGAAGACCAACACTCTTGTCTGAGCCATCTTGCTCTGTTCCAGTTGAAGTAGAGACTGTACGGTAGAGATACGACGAAGACACCCCGGTTCGCAGTCTTACATAGAGTCGTTTGCTCCTCTGGTCTAATAAGAGCAGCCCGTGCTTTTGTAAAGGAACAAAAACAAGCTTAACAAGTAATTAAGATGAGGCAGGTTTTTTTTCACAATCTAAAGGCTTAGTTTATTTTCTTTACTGTATCATTTTCTACACCAACACGCCTCGTAATAGAAAACGATACATCAAAGTAAACATGTACAGAAGGTAAACAAAGATACATAAAGAAAATAAACGGCGCCTTTATTTGTTTGTAGATGCGGCGGTAACAAAACCACCTTATTATTTATCCAGGTAGTGGCGAGCTTCTGTTCTCAGACAAAGGAGTGGACTGTGTTTCTTATCCAGGTGTGCGGACACCTGTGGACAGCTTAAAGAAGCTCCCCTGGGTCTTAACTACAACCCTTCAAGATGGTTCGGGCACGAGTCTTGTTCGCCGTCCTTGTTCTTCTCGGCTGCTGGATGCTCCAGACAACTTCTGCCCACGAGGTTCAGTTGGAGGAGGCCTCCTGCTCTAAACAGTTCCGCAGCGACGTGAACATCACCGTGGTGGCCGGGCCGGGGCCGGCAGGGCAGAAAGGCGACATGGGCCCGAGAGGTAGTCGTGCTTGTATCGGTAACTCTGCAGATGGGCGCACGTAGTATTACCAACCTGTAATCTCTCTATGAGTCTCTGTATAGAAAACTGCATGAATGGAGGTACTAATATCTGTGTGTTTGGATCTGTATTTCCATGCCAGTTCTTGTATCGGTATCCCCATCTCTTATACATATCTATTGTGAACTTGTGATGATACATCGTATCTCAAACTGCTGCTAACCCGCCCTTCCCCGTTTCCATTAAATTAAATGTGTAATTCTGCTATCTTCAGGTCACAAAGGTACGCCAGGTGAGAGGGGAGAGACAGGTGCTCCAGGTGAACAGGGGCCTGTCGGGCCTACAGGTGAGAAGGGAGACACGGGTGAGCTGGGGCCGGCAGGTGAGACGGGCACACCTGGCGTCAGCCCACCTGTCCCCACCCTGGTGGCGTTCTCCGTGGCGCGAACCACTGGCCTGACGACGAATTGGTCTAAAAAGCAGGTGACGTATGATGACGTCCTTAGCAACGAGGGCGGGGCTTACAACATGACAACGGGGAAGTTCGTGACCAAAGTGGGCGGTGTGTACTTCTTCACGTTCACGGGCAAGACGAGCGGGGAGTACATGATTCATCTGAAGAAGAACGGGAAGATAATGGTCTCCATTCGTGAAAAAATCAGGGATCTAGGTTTGTTTTCATTTGTTATGTTTACCCTCGCAGAAGGATAACGTATTCTTTTTCTCTTTTTCTTGGTCTTCCTCTTCATGTCACCATGGTAACTGGTGCTGTAGCAGACACCCTGCGGTGCTGGGTTACATTATGTAGCAAGTGGCAGAACAGAGCTAGAGGGGCTGGTGACTATACATATAAATGTATGTAAGAATACACAGAGCAGTACTTTCTCAGGCTAAACCATGTGGAGGTAACCAGTATGCTTTGCATATGTTACCTTTCTAGCTTATCCATACATTCATTTATGCTACCATAGCTAAACTCTATGTTCCTATTCCCCATTCCTATTTTCCTTTCAGTTGACAACCAGGCGAGCAGTAACAGCGCGATCCTGGAGCTGGATGTCGGGGACGAGGTTTGGGTGGAGGTGTTTCCGGGCGCCTACAGTCTGCACAGCAACGACGGCCGCTTCCTCACGTTTTCCGGATTTCTTATTAGCCAAATGTAACAGCAACGACGACCGTTCCGGATTTCTAATCAACGAACTCTATTATAACCGTAATAACAATCGGTTCCTCACGTTTTCCGGATTTCTTATCAGCCAAATGTAACCGTAACGACGACCGCTTCCTCACGTTTTCCGGATTTCTCAATAGTCAAATGTAACCGTAAAGACGACCGCTTCCTCACGTTTTCCGGATTTCTTATCAGCCAAATGTAACCGTAACGACGACCGCTTCCTCACGTTTTAAAGATTTCTCAATAGTCAAATGTAACCGTAAAGACGACCGCTTCCTCATGTTTTCCGGATCAATTTCTTATCAGCCAAATGTAACCGTAACAACTACTTGATACTCACATTTTCTGGATTTCTCATCAACCAACTGTAACAACAACGACGACCGGTTTCCAGATTTCTCATGAGCTAAATGTAACTGTAACGGCGACCGCTTCCTCACATTTTCCGGATTTCTCATCAGCCAAATGACAACCGGATTTTTACCATACAAGCAAAGTGGTACCGTTAACCTCCGGATCTTCCAGCGTGCTCACAGCTGGGTGTATTATTTCCATTTAGTCATCGCCTTAAGGTTAACTTAGTACTACCTATCCATGTTATTGTTGTACATTTACTCAAGTGTGAATAAACGTGACTTATACATGACTTGTATTTGTTTGAACCTTTTGTATGGTCAAATTGTGTGTTTGTGTGCCTGTGTCTGTGCAATTATCGAGCAATAAAATTCACTCATTCGTAAAGTTCATTTCTTTAAGATTAGTTATATAATTATGTTTCAATAAGTCATACTTATTACCGAGATCTAGAAGACATAGTCATGAAACACGTTTTATTGAGGCATTAATTTTTACATGTCCACAGCACCAAAGCAATATTAATACTAAATATTTGCGAATTCTCCCCGGACGATGTTGAAATGTTGCTGCTGATGATGTTGTTGATGATGAAGATGATGATCCCGGTCGTCTCCGTCACCATCATGCCGGATTGATGAGGAGTCCGGAAAACGTGAGCAGCCTGTTCTCGTTGCTGAGCAGAGTGTACTCGCCCTGCCTGAGCTGTACCCAGACCTGGTCCCCGGTGTCCAGCGGCAGGATGGCGGAGTTACTGCTCGCCTGGTTCTCTCCTGGGGAACAGGGAGAAACGGTACTGGGTTATATATGCTGAGATCATGATTCCTAACCATGGGCACGGAAAGTACGGTATATAATAATCTCCAAGCAGATCATAGGGTGGCAAAAGACAGTACCAAATTGGCCAGCCAGTATCCATTTGCCAGAGAGGGTCCTTAAGTGGCGTATGGACCATCTCCGGCGAATGGATACTGCCTGGCCAACTTGGTACTGTTATTTGCCACCCTAGGATCTGCTTGGAGATTAGATATGTAAGACAACAAAAGAAGTTAAAAAGAACTAGTGAGTACTATCTCTGGTGTTATGTCTTTGTTTATTCTATCAAAATTTGATAATTCTAATCAAACCGTACGACATTCTAGGACTAATGTGACCATGTCTACGTCTTATTTTTCTATAAAATGAATGAATAATTAAACGCATACATGAACAAATTAAAGGAGCATACCTGGATACGATTCTCGGATGGAGACCACCCTCTCTCCGTTTTTCATCAGCTGGAGGAAGTAGTCCACCTTCGTCATGCCCGTGAACGTGAAGAAGTACACCCCGCCCACTTTAGTAACGAACTTTCCCGTTTCCATGTCGTAAGCCCCGCCCTCGTTGCTAAGGACGTCATCATACGTCACCACCGTGTCCGTTGACGACATCTCCACGTCAGTGGTTCTCGCCACGGTGAACGCCACCAGGGTGGGGACAGGTGGGCTGACGCCAGGTGTGCCCGTCTCACCTGCCGGCCCTTGCTCACCTGTGTCTCCCTTTTCACCTGTAGGTCCGGCAGGTCCCTGCTCACCTGGAGCACCTGTCGCGCCCCTCTCACCTGGCGTACCTTTGTGACCTGGAGATGGCAGAACTACACATGAGTGGGAGCAGGGCAGGGTGTGTTAGCAGCAGTCACTTTCTCATTGGAGTATACTATAAAAGAACGGAAAGAGATACCGGGCTATATAGATACGGAATACAGATACACATGCAGATAGAGAGGTATATGAACAAGTGCAGATGCAAGTACAATGAAACATACAATCACAAGCTATGCAGTCCATACAGGTTTAGATAGAGATACCGATACAATTACAGAAATACATATATAAGTACAGATATTAGCACAGATATAAATGCAGACCAAGGGATATGTGAGGTGAGGTGAGATGCAGATACAGAGAATCACAGACAGATACCGTTACAAGTAGATAGTACTATGTGCACCCATCTGCAGAGTTACCGATACAAGCACGGCTACCTCTCGGGCCCATGTCGCCTTTCTGCCCGGCCGGCCCCGGCGCAGCCACCACGGTGATGTTCACGTCGTTGCGGAACTGTTTAGAGCAGGAGCCCTCCCCCAACTGAACCTCGTGGGCAGAAGTTGTCTGGAGCATCCAGCAGCCGAGAAGAACAAGGACGGCGAACAAGACTCGTGTCTGGACCATCTTACGTTTTTTTTTCTCGACGGAGCTTCTTACAGGTGTTCAGAGGTGCCTGCATAAGAAATACAGTCCACACCTCTGTCCGAGAACAGAAGCTCACCACTACCTGGGTAAATAATAAGGTGGTTTTGTTACCGCCGCATCTACAAACAAATAAAGGCGCTGTTTATTTTCTTTCTTGTACCTTTGTCTACCTACTGGATCGTTTTCTATCACAGCACGTCTTTTGTCTACCGCCTGGCCATTAGTATAAAACCAAACATGTACTAGTGACTACCTTTACATAGGGATCACCATGCTGGCCATTAATATACAGTCAAACCTATACTAGTGACCACCACTACATAAGGACTACCTTGCCATTGATACAATGTATTAGTACACAGTTAAACCTGTACTAGTGACCACCTCAATTACTTATGACTACTTCTTGGTGGCCTCTTAGTTCTTACATTATTTTTCCCGTGGAACCTTCTTATAGTAGACACCTGTCTATGTCTGTGAATACTGGTATCTAGGTTTGATTGTAGAGTTGAGCTTTCTTCACCAGATACTAAATTCAGACGATGAATAAAAACTTTAATTATCCATGACCTCATCGTGTCGCCATGACAACCAAGCTTCCCTCTGCGAAGTTGCCCTTGGGTCAAGGGAAGACCAAAAAACGACCAATCGGAGCAGCGTTCTTTGCGGACGACCGAGAGGTCGGGAAAAGGACAGGACGAGAAGCGGTTTATACCGGTTCATATTCAGGACGTGAAACAAAAATACCAAATACAACTTCGACAAAGGAGGTTCATTCTTTAACCTCCTTGCTTCTACTTACTGCTTCCTAGACGATTACTTTTCGTCTTCTTGTGGACTACAGGCATCCTCTTAACCTGACAGAATTCTGTTGTGGTATCATTCTAGCCAAGTTTTAAGGACTTATAGAAGTAGACAGGGACCCAAAAGTTACAAAGTCATCATGCTAAGAGTCTACCGGTGGTGTCTGTACATGTATACCATGTACCTACATGAACCATTCAAGAGAGGTAAGGCCGTTTTGATATCTTTTCTTCGTCAAAAGTGGCAAATCCTAATTATCGTGACGTTTCATGAAGGTCAGAAGATCAGGGCAAAACGGTTATAGCTTTAGGGAGAAAAGAATAGCAAATTCAAGACCGGTGCCAGATAACGAATTCTTAAAGTGGTTTAGCCTCCCGTAACGAAAAATGTTCTAATCTGTCCAAAATTTAAGGATAAAACGAGCAAAATTATGTAACTTTCTTGATGAACCACAAAAGAATTTGAATCAAAATATTCGATCCTTTATTTAGAGGTAAGTTTAATTCTCCAAATATAGGATATTAATTTTACATTGCGAAAACAGGTGAATACGTTTAGATGCTTAGATACCGGAGTATTGACCTTATCATTTGTTTTTAACTGTAACGTACCTTTATATGGGGATAGTTTATTATATCAGATGGTGAAATCACAGTGACAGACCACTTGCCCAGTGGTGCCTTAGCTACTACTTGCTTCTTTTCCTTGAACTTTTGATAACCCTCTGTGCAAAAGAATTCGCCAGCCGTCTTGATGTTTTGATTTGTGTCCGCTGATTTCGCCAGCTGTTACTTTTGTGTTTATACGATAATATAAGATCCGCCGCGTCCGCTGTTTCCGTGTTGTTGATGCCCCGCGGACATTTTTGTCTTTTTCTTGTCAGATCAGATGGTTGACCTTTGTCACCACAGAATCCTTAAAATTCATATAATTTTGAAACACAAATAACACAACTTTATTTTCATTCAAACACATAGTTTAACAGGTTTTCCATAAAAAAATTTATCGTTTAGCTTCAATATTGAATCAATGTCACAAGTTTTAAGGACAGAATAACAACATGGAGTTTCTCATACAGCAGCGCGCAAGGCACGACGGGAGGGAAGCCGATCACCTCACCACTGTGCAGGTGCGTCACGTGTCAAAGGTCACACCTGGCTGGCACAGACACCGGGAGGGCGACGAAACGACGTAACTCACCTGTACGAACTACCTGTGTGTGACGGTACGTCCAGGTGTATTTAACCATCACCTCACCTGACGTGTGTTTTTTCCTGTGTACGTTTCTAAGCAAATATGTTCCTTGTTCATGAGAATACCTACAAGTATTATCTTAGACCGCCCAGGTGCCGAGTGTGTTCCGTCGCCCTCCCCAGCGTGCCTTACCTGCAGCGTGCCGTGACGGCGAAGGATGTGGTCACTGATTGGACTGTTCCAAATATAACTGTAGAGGGGGGTGCAGGAGGGGGTCGATCAGCTTTTCACCCCTTTCTTCTCTCCACTTTGGCATCACCTTATATATGTCCTGCCCAAATTTGTCTGATAGCTTCTAGATATTGTCAAGTCTTTAAAGTAAAGTTTTACAGAAACGTTGGTTACACCTGCCCCCCCCCCTACCTGTCCGTGTTTGGGACGTCCCAGGTGAGAATCTGCACAAACAACAAACGTCTGATCTGGCCCGGGGCGGAACCGGTCCGGCAGCGGCGTTTGTTATGCAAATCCGGGAAGCCTGTTTGTGCCAGTGAGGGAGGGTGACACTTCGTACCGTCACCGCAAACAGGACAGCTTTCTCACAACTACAAGTACATCCAGAACAAGGTAGGCGAACGTTTGTATGGTTCTAGTACTTGTTGTTATGTGCGAGACCATTTTGGGACCACCTGTAATACAGCTAGGACGCAGGTGGGTCTTTTCTTGTCAGTATCTTCAGGTGTTTACCACTCAGGCGTGTCCCCTGAACAATTATCTCAAACGGCGAGACAACAAGAAAATTTAAAATCGTTAGCTTCAAAATCAGAATCCCCAAGAACTTCAGGGGCTGCTTGGGTGCGAACGGTTTTCTTGGATAATCAAACAAGCGTGAGAAATGGCTTACATCTATCTAGTATCATTGAAGCTTTGTCAGCACAATGCATTGCATGAATTATCGAGTTGTTTACTAGAAACTCAGGTATATGCGAAACCCTATCCACCCTGGATAGGCAGTGTAATTTCCGTCTGTACGCGGACAACACCATTTAGTCTGTAACAAGTATTTTGTAGTCCTTAACATGTTCTAAGAAGAGTTACGAGCGGTGTGCCGGCGCCAGAGTGTCTAATCTCCAAGCAGATCTTTCGGTGGGGGTAAGACAGTATCAAACTGGCCAGTCTGTGACCATTTCCCCACCGAAATGGATACAGACTCAGTATCAAATTGGCCAACGGTGGGGAAACGCATACAGACTGACCAACTTAATACTGTCTTACCCCCACCGAAAATTCTGCTTGGAGATTAAGAGTGTCCACCATTGTAGGAAACCCGATCTCTGCGCGCATTCCGTGTGGATCGTTACGCTCTGCCGGTTTGTTTGTGCTTAGGTTAGACTCAGATCTACTCTAGTCTCCACCAGACTCCTTTTGCAGGCTGAATAAATCGTAGAAATCGGTCTAAAAAGGGTATATAACTGACCAGAGAAGGTAGCCGGCCATCGTGCAGGCCGATTGGATCCTCGATGGCCGGCTGCCTTCTCTGGCCAATTAATACCCTTTTCTACGATTTCTACGATATATTCAGCCTGCAAAAGGAGTCTGGTGGAGACTTGATCTACTCCGCTTCAAACCAGAATTGACCAGAAACAGGCCATGTGCATGTAGTATAGGCTACATGTGTTAGAGAATATAGAGCGCATGTCTGTGAATTGCTTCCGTTTAGTCTAATAACAGCAAAATCATATCCTGTTGCTTGAGTAACTGCTTTTTGGCGTATCTTATTACCTGGATGTCTAACCTTCACCGACGTAATAGAAGCAAACTTAATGAAAATACTTCAGTCTCAAAACAATATAATTCATGGGACTACTAAAAAGTAACACGGTTAACACAATATCGCAGACGGTTCGAAGTGTTTTTCAGGCTTATAAGGTGTATACCTACATGTTTTCGTACTAACTGAAAGATAGTGTAATACAGTAGAACAACACTGTGCAGCTTAGGGCGGCTTAAGCCTATTCAGACACAGGATCAAGAATTGCGTAATCATTGAAGTAGCCACTCAGAATCACGCTATGGTGTTGGAGTTAAAATATATTTTGTGTAGCACGATAGCAAGATGGACATGACTGAACTAGAACAGCAAATCAAGTCAGCACGACAAGTACAAAATGCACATAGCTGTTGAGCATGGGTCTAGGTTGTCTAAGATTTATATCTTCTAAGGTTTTTTGTTCTTTAGGTTTAACTCATTGCTATCTGCTTTGAAGGGGATACATGCTAACCAGCAGGCGTGAGCTCCCCCACAGTTAAGCCTTGTTAATCCACATGTAATTTACCTCTAACAGCGTATGTACATAACACAAAGCCGTACATAATAATGAGTGGTTGACCTAGTTCTATGAAGTCAGCTTTTCTTAGGTTTAGGTGGGAATGATTTCTCTGATCAAGATGATTATTTCTTGCACTTTCTTGAAAGTTTTGCCACATCTCCATCTGATTCAAAACTAAACTATGCGGCCTAGTGTTTGCCAACATAACCACTCCCAGAAATTTACAAGCTCTTCTGACTCAGGCCCAGGTTATTTACTACTGCATGCAGAAAATGTCTTTCAGCCACAAAAAGATCTGCTTGGAGATTATCAGACTAATGCTTGCAGGCTAGGCGTAACAAGTACTCCATGAAATCTTCGAAATCTACAACGGTAGCTTCTGTGACACCCAGGTTATTTACTCACTCCAGAAAGTATCCAAAACACCCAGACCAGGTGAGCTGAATTGAGTAAACAGCACATGGCCGCAAGGCTAACTCCTACCGGGGGGTTCATGACAGCTCACACGGCGGTAAAATTCCGCTGATCTGGTGTTTTCAGTGACACTGACGGTTTGGATATGGTTCACAGGTGGCAACCAAGCAAAAGGGAAGGCAAATCCTTGACAAATCAGTACTATCAAGTCTGAAAAGACAAAAATATAACAAATTGTAAAGGTAAACCACAAAAGCGGCCAGAACGTTCGGGGTCACTTCGTTCTACTTCTATGTGAGTCAGGTCGATAACAACCGAAGGTCGAATATTTGAAGGTCCAGAAACTAGTTTATAGGAAACTTTGTGTGACTCCATTCCCTGAGGGTGCTTGTCGGTTACTGGCTGTGAGGTAAGGAAAACATTGATGGTTGTTGGATAGTTTTGTTGCAGGGAAGGAAAATAGACGTATACAGTAGAGTTGGCATCTAGACAGGTTTAAGTTGAATTTAACCCTGATTGAAATCGTGCCAGTCAACTAAAAAGCAAAGAGTCGTAGCTTAACGTCAAACGCCGGATATCTCTTGCTTGCTTTGTAGATCATTACTACCTTGAGAAAAAAGTATTGGAATAAACCCTGTAGTTTATGCATGTCCTAAAGTATCCTACGCTTTTGGTTAACAATTTTCGTATTTGGTAAAGATTTAGCATTAGCTTCAGCCATTGTTCTTTGAAAGTCGCTGTGGCGAAAAGTTTTCGTCATTGCTCTTGACTCTTTGAGTTTGCTTTTTTGCAGACTAACCCCTAATGGTGCCAAACTTGGCTTGTTACCTCACTGAACTAACCTCAGTACAAGACTGAAGCGGCAAAGTTTGGGTGTAAGTCAGTTTAATAGGAGACTGTGACGTCACGAACGGACATCGAAGCTTCGTGCCCCCGGTTTTGTAGTAAGTCACAATTTAGTACAAGAAACGTTGCACTAGAAGAATAACTAGCCAAGTTGTGGTTCCTCTGAGATACTCCTGGCGTGCTAATATCCTCTGTAAGGTCACGGTTTGACGAGTGGTTCGGTTCTTCCCCCTCTTGTTTGACCCGCCTGAATCTCAGCAGGACGCCATCTTGGAGACGTTCGAAATCCATAAATCTGCTGACACAACCTGCTAATTACCACCTGCGCTTAGGGTAAAGCGTTGAGCATAATAGAAATTTATAGAAGGAAAGTACAATGATGTATCTGTACATTATCGATAAAAGCAGAAGTGATCACGTAAATCCTTGCTGTGGTTCCAAGTGTTCCCATTTGTTTTATCAAGTCACCAGGAGGACGCCATTTTGGAAACGTTCGTTCATCCCAAATCATAACCTATTAATGATCAGCTGTGCTTAGGGTAAAACTTAGCATGAAATACATATCTTGTATTTAAAATATCATTTAATAAAGGAAACCACAATGATATTTCTGTGTATTCTCGACAAAAAAATGCTGTAACGTTAGATTTGTCCTAAATTGTGCAATGTGACCGGTACTAGTAACTTGAAATAGGCCATGTGATACTTATAAAATACGTGTATTTATAATTACTTCAATACGAGGCCAGAGACACATAGTTATCAATGTTTCTTCTTGTTATTGACAGACTACAATAGCTGTGGCGGTTTTAAGTTGGCAGGTTTAAGCGCCTCTTTCATGAGATCAAGTTGTTCCCATCCGTGCCAGCCTGCCCCCCTCCTGACCCTGACCCCCCCCCCCCTTACCCTGTCGGACAGGTACCTGTTAGACACACCTGCGTGGCGGTTTGGCCCGGGGCGGCGTGGGAACAATGGGTGACGTCAGGTGGGCTGATCGGCAGGGATAATCATAGCCTGGATGCCAGACTGTGCTCATGGCCCCATGACTTAGGCCAACTGAGGGGTGTTTGTGGTAATTAAGATATCCTAGGGTACAGGTTGGCCCTGGAGCCGAGAAGCTAGCCTGTATATACTGGCCCTGACAACAGTCTGGCACCCAGGCTAGCCCTGGAGCAAAGGAGCAGGCCTGTATACTGGCCCTGACAACAGTCTGGCACCCAGGCTAGCCCTGGAGCAAAGGAGCAGGCTATAGCCTGCATACTTAACTAGAGTCATACTAGCCCTCAGCAGACTTAAGCCCTGGAGCCGAAGTCGAAGAACTAGCATACATACTAGCACTGGCAACAGTCTGGCGCCAAGGACTTTGCCACAGTGTGGTTGTTTTATGAGTAGTGCGTGTGTCTTTTGTCTGTAGTTACAGATCTACCCTGTCTAGTGACCGGTCATCTGTCGCCACAAATTGTAACGCATTGTACCTACTATTGTTCCACAGTATGTAGCAGTTATGTCATGTCGTGTTGGGTTACGCACGGGCTGATCACGTTTCTTGGAGCGTCTAATGTGTTACAAGTGGTGTAACAAAGTCTGTGGCAATCCTGTCATGTCATGTGTCCTTTGTGTGAGAAACATGTGGCATGTTTGCTACAGTTTGACGTAATTTAATACATGGCTAGTAAATGCCTCACATGTACCGAATAGACTGTTTGTAGCGACTTACGAGTCAAAATGTATCGCCAAATCCTCTGCACTTTTTGCAGATAGCACACCACCACTTTGTAACATCACTGTTGCAAATCACACGTCTTGTTTTTAAACTACATACAATGTAGCAAGCAAGCATGAAGACACATGCAATGTAGCACGTACACCAGCAAGCAAGCATGTGCAAAATGTAACAAAAATTGTGTTGTTCCCTGCCCACAGGGTGTAAGGTGATCTGGACGGAACATGGCTGTGAGAATACTTGGTCTGACCTGGGCACTTCTGGCGGTCGGTAAGTCAGAAAACTTGTGTACGATCTATATATTATCCTGTCAACTGGGGTGACGGTCACTGACCGAACAAGCCTCTTACTAATTTCATTCATAAAAAAGTGTATATTTCCTAAGGTTTGTGTATGTTTTGTTGAAATGTTTTCACTCTAAACATTACTACATTACTTCATGAATATTCATGGCTCTTTGAAACATCGGCTCTTGCTGAACAGGTGGATGTGAATAAAGAACTTTGCTATTCAATCATTTTTTTTGTGTGCGTGTTCAGTTTATGGTTGATTAAGTTATATCTGTGCCCCTCTTCTTATATATTGTACATCCAAATGGTTCCGTATTGGCCCGTATGGGCTGGGCGCGTAAAGCGCATGGCACGTTGATAAAGCTTATTCATTCATTAATTCATCCAATCATTCAATAACCTGATGGAATTATTCACAGATGCGCTACTTCTTTCTAGACTCCACCAGACTCCTTTGAGGGCAGAATAGATAAGTGGAAATCGGCCTAAAATGTAGCTGTCCAGTTCTATGCATGCAAACTGGACCCTCTTTGTTCGCCCAACTCTCCTGGCCGGCCACATTCTTTTTAGGCCGATATCTACTATTTATTCAGCCTGCAAAGAAGCCTAGTGGAGATTGATTTCATTTTTCTCACGCCGATACTGTTGCTACCCTCCCCAGCCTTGCCCTGTCTGGCGGCTAACGGGCCCAGTAGCGGTGAGCAGTACGTGGCGCAGGTCCGGGCCAGGAGCCGCCGCGCCGCCTGCGATCCATTCATAGACCCCAGCTGTAAGGAGTTCGTCAGTCTGGTGAGGACAACAGTTACTTTACAGTGTAATCTTACATACTGGCAGGACGAAGTCTTGGTAGAGGCCAAATGTTTTCTTACATTTTTAATGAAATATATATTTATCAATGTTGGTTAGTCAACAATTGGGTCTCCCGCTTCGACGGTCCAATAGATTGTAATACTGTCCATGTCCAGTTCCATCATAGTGTATGGTCTTTGACAGCAGGACTAGCCTTTATAATAGCCACAGGCAAATTGGACAGCCTTGGCTGTGCGTGCTGAACAGCTACACCAATGCATATCTACATACATATCTATTACTGTGAAGACTTCTGGAAATGAATGTACATAACTAATAATGTTATTTGTTTGTTTGTAGAACACAGAATGCTACAGCTGCGACATGAGTACGGACCCGGAGTGTTACAAGTTCCGCAGCAGACAGACTTCAGAAAAGGCGCAGTGCGACCCGGGAGAGTACTGCTGGGTAGGTTTTTTTTTTTTCAAGAAAAAAATTATATTCACACGAACTCTCATTCGTTCAAGTAAAAGTCGGCACATTTGCTCCAGACTGGACTGGATATTTTTTTTTTATTTGCACTTACTTTCTGCAAATGACTTATGAAATTACCTAAGGAATGGCCCAGGAAGTTTGTATCGTCCCCCGTCTCGGTCTTATCATTGTTGATTTGTCCTTTACAGCTGTGTATAGCATGGGCTACAGTTTTACTTGCCCTCTTCCATAGAAATGTCACCATCTAGACATTGAATTCTATTTACAAATCATAGTAAACATTTGTTGTTGTTTGTTGTTTTCGTTGCTAGGTTACGAACAGATACGACATGCAGAGGAACGTGTGGACGTTCTACAGCCGTGGCTGCGAGGACCGCACATGCGCACAGTGGCAGAAGTGGGAGTGCCAGACCACCAACAACATCCGGGAATGCAGCTTCTGCTGCAGGGAGGACCGCTGCAATGGATTCTGGGGCATCGCCAGCGGTGCAGTACCGACAGACGGCGGCAGGGGGCTCTTTGGGGTAGTCTTAGCGCTCATGTCCGCTCTGTATGTAATGCTGTAGGAGTTGGTAAATTAGTGAGAAGAGTAGAAGAGTGTGGAAGTTACAGATGTGTTTAGCGCTGCCGTTTAGATCAGTAGACATCTTTTTTTTCGTCCAAAATTTCAATCCAAAAGTTCTAGAAATATGTTTTTCTTTTAATTACTGAAATAAAAGAAATTTATACCCTTGTTTTACATCAATGCATTTCAAGTGACGTATGTGGAAGGCGTGTTTAGCTGTATTGACATTGTTTTTACAACAATAATTATTATATAACCATTTGCTGTTGTATATATTTATCATGGGTGTAGGGCTATTTGTGGTGTTAAGGTAGTCAGAAAAAAATAAGTATTCCTACATACACATCCCATATTTAAACTCTTGAGCCAGGGTTTGTACAAATCTCTACAATGAACAGTTCTTGTTGCCTAGAATGGCATTTGTATCTATACATGTACTTTTAGATACTATTAGTTGGTCGTAGTTTGTTAACCTGTAGCAATAACATGAGAGATACTTTTAAGGGAGAAGTCTGCAATGTAATAGTTTGTAGAATTATGACGAGTGATCACTAAGAGTTGAGGCAATAACATTTCTGTAGTCTATTTGTACAAACGCAATTTTACGACTTTGTTACTCTCCAGTACTTTCTGCATCAAGGTAGTATATAGCCGACATCTTTTTATATTCTGTAAGAGACTATTAGTACATACTTGGAAGTAAAGTTTATTTACTGTACAACACAGGTTGTTGTCTTTCTGTTTCTTGCATTGAGGCTAGGAGTTAAGCATAACGGGCTGGAACTTTAAATTTGCTGTGATTTGAGTTACCAATCTGTCCCATTTAAACTTACTCCAAGAGGTACCGACAAACACACACACAAGCAAGAACAGGCATAAATCTAAAGCATAGCATTACATTAAAATCGTTATGATTCACCTGTTATCAGATTATCAGACTGTTTAACCTATATAACAAACGCAGTAGACGGAAAAAAATCCACATTTAGAAAACCACGTCAGGACTGAGTCAGACCACACTCCACTGTACACAATTTTATTCCAGTTCACAAAGATTTTCCTTATTGTAATAAAATCTGTACAAAAACATCTCACATTTTCCTTCCGAGACAAACAAGTGTTTTTCATATAAAAATCCTGATTAAACGTAACTTATAATTACGTACTACAACTACAGTATATCGTAACAGGACGAGCCAAAATCACAGATTGGCCAGTACTACATGTAATACTGTGTGAATAAGAGAAAACCTTCAAATTCCACCAATAAACTCCAATAACAGTAGAAAAGCTGCCTTTTTGGAAAGCTTTATGCAACACACATTGATTTTAAATTGCCCTTAACAAGAAAACAGAAATAAATGAAAAGTCCTTTCTCCCAAGTCACAGGTATGTCACATACATGTAAATGTTGTTACTTTTCACGTATAACATAAAATACAACTAATATCTATAATAATTATACAAAAAAGAGATTTTCTTGCAATCTGACTCAAAACAAAGACGGGGAAATCCGTCCAAAAGACACATGAAATAAACTGAATCTGAGAACCACGTAAAACCTTTAGTGTTTAATAACAAGTTCCACACTTTCCACAGACATTATCTCAACACTGTTCAGTGAAACACGGTGTATTTACAATCATCATTCCTAGCCCTGGTTGGTCCCGTAGCTGTCAAGTTATTTTACACATTTCATATTTACAAGAAAATACATGATCCTATATCATGATATATCAACTTCCACTTGACTTATGATTCAACTAAGGTGTTAAAGCATCCAATATGGTTTGTCTATAACATATCATATTCACATGTTATCTATAGAAACAGGCTATCACATTGCATCACCCAAGCCACAAAAACATTCAAAGAGCACACCAAGGCCATTATTTGATACACAAACGTTTTGATGGGACAAATCTTATCACAAGATTTTCATTACTCTATGCTCTCTTTCTGTACTTCATGTTCACTGCTGAAACAGCAAATCAACAGTTTTATGAAAACTGATCTGCAAAGGTGACAAAAACAGAGAAAGAAAGAACTGTGTTGCTGTTATCAAGGTAAAAGACTTTTCAAATCCAGGCTGATTGTTTGGAAAAAGTTGAGCTTCTGACAGTCATTGTTCTGACAGTACTGTCACAGTAGGGTCAAGGAATTATTTGTTGCAGTCAGAAAACATTACAATCTTTCCCCAAACGTTGGCTTTGAGATTATAAAATGACAGAACGAACATCTTCCAACTCACAGAGGAAATTAAGACGTCTCAAAGATTTGCAAGAGAGAAATATCGCTGACTAACTGCACAGTTCCAGTCAACAGGAGCTGTGAGAGAAGTCTAGCAGTCAGCAAACATTACAATTTTCTGTTTTGAGATGATGAAATGATGAGATCAAAGATTCTCAAAGATGTGCATGTGATCCAACTTTCCTCAGGGAAATATCGCTGACCAACTGCACGGTTTCAGACAACAGGTTCTCAAAGATGGAGTCGCTAAGCTGAAGCTTTACGGCGAGTTCATCATCATCGTAGTTCACCCACTCTGGCTCCTCTGTGGCCAGCTCCTCAATCAGAATCTCATCCACCTGGTCTTTCTTCTTCCGCCCCATCTTTAAGAACTTGGTGGTGTGCTGCAGCTTCTTAGAAGGCTGAAGACCGAGGAGGACTAAGACACGTTGTTGGATGACGCTGGTGAGCTCCTCCAGTCCTCCTGGCGGCCGTCTACGGAAATGTTTCCTCTGTGATTTCTTCGGCTTCATCCAGACCGGCGGCGTCTCGACGTTTTCTTCGGCGTAGATGTCCTTGAAGATTTCGCCGCTGAGGTCGAAGATGATTTTCTTGTAGCTGCGCTTGCTGAGGCTCTCGATGTCGTTCCCGGGCGTGTCGTTGCTGAGGAGGTCGCGCGGGGTCGCGATGGGCGCCAGGTCGTCGCCGTACTCACGGTTGTTGTGGAACACCTGGACGGACGACTTCACCAGGCTTCGCACCTGTAGGAAGGAATGTATGAATGAATGAATGAATGAATGGTTTATTCAGGTTAAATCGCCCACAGCCATTTTGCTGAATTGTGGATGTCATTACAATACTAATTGGTACTTTCGAAAAGACAATTTATTGTTTATTTCACGTTCACATCTAGAAAAATGTCATAATACATAATGAAATAAGTCCTTGAATAGTTTCGTCAGGTTGGTAAGTCACTAAGTAAGGACACTCTTTTTACACAATGCATCTATAGCAGCGACACCTGTGCTGCAATGCAATATGAACCAGTCAGAATTGCCCTGATGAAGGTGACAGACGGTCACTGAAACGTCGGCTGAATAAAAGACTGGGTTGTGTAAAAAGAGTCTCTTTACTTTCTGAAATAAGTCCTTTTGATAAATATTTAAGGATTTCTCACCTCCTCCTCGTTGTGTGGTATTGCGAAGAAGACGTCATCAGTGACCTTCTGCAGGTCCAGTTTATGGGGAGAGGTTCTCTGGGACTGCGGAGGCTCCTGGCTTTCCGGGGAACGTTTAGACGCTCCCTGGCCCTTCTGCGCACCTCTGTGGAACAAACAAATGGTTTATTTGTTTTGTTTATTTGTTTTGTTTGTTTATTCTGTTGTTCCTTTGTATTTGGATCCGTGGTATATGTGTTATCTTTTGTGTTATTGTTGGTTTATTTGTTATTTTGTAAATGAACAATAAAAAAACAAAAAAACAAAAAAAAACAAAAAACAAATGGTTTGTTACTCATTACCGGTAGTGCCATTACAATCAATAAGTGCTTATCAATTTTCGATTGGACATAAAACTCATTTCCAAGCATGATCTTAACCCTGCTGCCTAACCCTTGCAGTAGAGAATGATAGTCGAGATTGTACCCAGTTCCTTGAGTAACAGTTCACTAATGTGTATCTCAATGTCATTACCTGGATGCCTAACCTTCATTGATGTAACTCTATACACTATTTATGTGTATAGATTTTGTCCGAACAGATTGAATTACCTACATTGTATATAAAGCACATATTAAACGCATGTACATAAAATATATCAGATTTCTAAACAATTTTGCATTGAGTATGGAAATCAAACATTTTGAGTTTCTCCTTGCTTCCTAACTTTGCAAAACAATGATGCTGTCCTCCTCAAACCACCTTTGGTATACACATTCTCATACTATAGGTACGGTGTAATTTACCTCTGAACGCTATAGCAGTGAAGCTGTTTTAGCATGTTACCTGTTCCCCAGGCCGAATATTCCGTCCTCCTCGAACCAGGTCTGGTCTGTGCTGAGGATGTCATCCAGCTGTGCCTCTAAACACTATTTAAGCACCTAGGCAGGTAGTTAAGCAATAACGTAGTGAAGCTGTTCAGATCTTACCTGTTGCCGAGGCCGAAGATGCCGTCCTCCTCGAACCATGTCTGGTCGGTGCTGAGGATGTCATCAAGTTGCGCCTGGAACTCATCCAGCTTCTCCCCGAACACAGGCGACCCCGGCCGCGGGTGCAGTTCCACGGGCGACCCCGGCCGCGGGTGCAGCTCCACGGGCGAGTTGGGCCGCGGGACGGGGTCCAGCGGCGAGCTGGGCAGCTGCAGCTCGTTCAGCTCATCGTCCAAACTGTCGTCCTGGTCCCGTGCCTCTTCCAGTCTGGTTACCACGTCAGGACGACGTTTATCCGTTCTTGAATGAATGAATGAATAGATGAATGAATAGGTTACAACTAACCGGCCATTTCTCTATAGTGGACACCTGTCCATAGTGGTTAAATTTGGCCAGTCCCTTGAGTGACCACTATAGACAGGGTTGACTGTATTTAGACTGGAAAAAGTGGAATGCCTTGTCGGCCTTAGCCACTCTTCCCAGAGATCCAAGAATAAACAAGGAGAAGTCGTAGACATCATCCCTCCATGAAATAGCTTGTTATTTTGTAATCTTTTGGTGTATTTCAATAGAGATATTATGAGTCAAACTGTTATAGAGTTTGCGAATATACTACTGGGGATGGTACCCAGGCTACATTTGCCTGTACATGTAGGTCAATGACCAGACAAATGACCTGCAGACCAGACAAACAAGATTTATTTTCCTGCAGACTCTATAGGGGTAAAAATAGATAGGGCTGCCTGGGTCTGACCTACCAGCTGGAGGTATAAACAAAAACACTCTGTCCCAACTTTTGGGTCAAACAGACCATCCTATTATGAAGTAGGGGTGAAAAAGTGAAAATCCTTTTAAATCAAGCAATAAAAATATGCGACAACCTGCTAATGCACTCCAAAACACAAAGAGACTCAACAACTACCCACATACCAAAAATCATACCAAACCATCCCCTAGATTTTCCAAACATTCAACACAAAAAGTCCAACATTAAACATTTTGTAAATATCAAACGCAAACAGCTAGGGGACCCAAATTTAAACCACTAAACCATGGTAATAACAACTACATGCTACCTTAATATCGCACAAACAGTCCATAACGCGAAAACAACAGAATAAAAAATTAAACTGCAGTACCAAGGTCAATCACCAGGGGCTCAAAGTCAACCTACACAATCTCCAAGGCCCCATCCATCAATCTGCCAAATATCGTACAGTTCCTTCTCACCGATCTTCAGATATCAGACCAAACATGAAACGGAGTAAAAACAGTACCCCCATTTTCATGGAGGGTAATAAGTAAATAGATACAAATTAATACAAAAAATTTAAATAAATTACCGAATACATAACAATAGAGTGTGGAAACAACAGGACGGTTTATTAAAGATGGGAGGGTGCAATGAATTTTAAATCTCTAGTGAAACATTTGTTGACTCAAGACTAGTTTGAATTTCACAACAGTATACTTGGAAGCTGAGTATCCATAGTAACAATTACCACATCTTGTCTAATATCTTGTCAAATTTCTCAACTTACCGTATTCTCTGCTTGTGCTTCCTGATGTTGAGGATGTCGGAGATGGCGTCGGAGAACAGACCTGTGACGAGCGACTCGGAGAACTTCTCAGCCTGCTGGCGCGGCGTGACCTCCGGGCTGGTGTCCGGCGCTGCAGGAGGGGGGCGCTCCGCCCGTCTCTGCTGGATCTCGTGCTCCCGTAACAGGAGGTCTAACAGCGGCGTGTGCGGCTTGTTGTCCTTATCCCGAGGGGAGGACGTGGGAGTCCTTTCGTCAAGCTCCTCGGCTTCGGCCTGCCTGCTTTCTGCAAGATTTGTGATGCAGGAGAGAGAGTCTTGGAGGACCATGGAGGCTAGATCGTCTGTGATGTCGTCTACGAGTTTGTCCTTTTTCTCTTCAGAAGAGTCTTTTGGTAAGTCTGAAGCGTCGCGAGGCGTTTCGGCGAGGTCCTTGGAGGCTCCCCGCGGAGTGTCCTCGGGTGACTCGAGAGCGAACGACTCGACGGCGGCTGCTGCAGAGCTGATGGCCTTCTCAAGTTCACTGTCGCTGCTGTGGAGCGAGATCTGCTCCGAATCCGGCTCCTCGTCCTTCTGGGATCTCTCGCGGGATTCCGGGATCGACCGCGGCGTGTCGAAGTCGTCCGAGTACGTCCGTTCTCTCCTCGGGGCGAAGTCTTTCTCGCTTTCCGCAAAGTCGAGTTTAAGGCGAGGGGTTTCTACGTCGGAATCCGTCCGGTCGGTTTGTTCTGGGATCTCCTCAGCGACGGATTCTTCCCGTTCGGAGGTGTACTCCTCGAGCGCGGGTTTGAGGTTGTCGGGGGTGACGAACACGCCGCGGTCCGGCGCGCAGGAGAAGTACCGCATGCCGTCCCGCGAACCGTCCGAGTCCCCGATCGCTTTCCGCAGCTCCACGCCCGCCCACATCCCTGGCGCAAATGATGTCGGGCCCTTAAACCGTAAAATGCCCGCCTTGTCTCCATCCACAACGACGTTATCCCCGAGTTTGTACTCCGCGAGAGGGTCGACGATAATTGGCGTGCTCGTGTCGATTTCCGCTCGGCGGTCGCGTGGGGTCGGGGTTTCCGCCGGTGACGCGACTGGAGTTCTGTCCTCATCGCTTTCTGCTGTTTCTGAATAAATAAATGAATGAATGGTTGGGTCAAAAGTAGATTGTGCATTGCAGCCATAGGCTGAATTGCGTGCTTAGCCTATTAGGCTCTTTACCGATTAGCCCTAATCTTATCTTTTCTATTCGAATGAAAGCTCATCTGTTTAGTAGAATCCATAGTTATACAGTTCAAGCTTAGTTCCAACACAAAAAAATCTTTTTCAGTTAACTATATTGAAAAGCTTATTGCAAATTCATGCCCGGGGGCTAATTGCAAATTACAAACATAAAGGAACATTGAAACAGAGTATAAAATCATAATGAAAGGTAGTTATAGCACAAGAAACGCTACCTTCTGTAGTTTTGCTGGGAGTTGCCGGTCCCAGCTCTGTCTTCAGGTCGATGAAGAGCTCGTGTCTTGACTGCTGTGAGCTGGCCGTGCTGCGTGCTGATTGGCCGCTGAAGTGCTCGCTGATCTCCTCCTCGCTCGTAACACTCGGGCTGCGGTCAGACCTGGGGGAAGGAACAGGAATCACAATTTTACTCAAAAATAACTAAGGTCTTGTGGGAACTGCGGTGGTCAATCTCTTGATGTTATAAGAGAAGAGTGGGTCCCACTCTTATAATGCAAGAGAAGTTGATGAGAATGATGTAACATAATATATAATTATCATTAAGTTTGAGTGCCACTACTGATGATGTAAGAGAAATTTGATTTACACTAGTAGTGGTGATGACTTGTAGTATCACTTCTGCTGATGTAGTAGAAGTGCACCACAACTGACGATGTAATTGAAATCAAAGTACCAACACTGATCTGTAAGCAAAGGTTGAGTCGACTACTGATGAATCCCTGGTCAGTTATTTGTCAGTAAAAGGAAAGAATAAAAAAATGTGGTACCTGTTGCTATTGGATGCCACTGTGGGACACTGTGCTTTGATCAATTAAAACCATTATCATGCACCTAGATATTTGTGCACTACAGGGGGAAAAACCATACCTGCTCCTGTAGCTGCGTTGCGACCCCTCAAAGTCGTCGCTGTAGCTCTGGTCGGATGACTTCTCGCTGACGGTGCGAGTGCGCTGGGACTGCCGGGACGCTGAGGTGGAATAGGACGTGAAGGAGTGGTCGCTCTTCTGAGACGAGTCACTCTCAGGCTCCTCCTCAGCTTCTGCCTTCTTCTTCACCTGTGGCATAATATAAAACTGATACAGTTTAAAGGCATCCAATGTGATTTCAAAGCAGCAAAACTGGAAATATTCTGAATAAGACAATCTTTGTGATATTGACACAAACTGCTTCACATTAGCACATTTCAATCATTTCATACGTTGGGTACTCAAAACTGCAGAAACAAACCTCAAAATGAGTCCTTTATTTTCTGGGTGGTAACCTAAAATAAGCCAAGGACCCTTCCAGTAACCATTTTCTGTCAGAATTATTGCTCCGTCACTACACATTGGGACACCAGTTTCAACTCAGTATGTAGATAAATGACTAGAATATTGACTTTGAAAAATCGGGTTTCCCAGCCCTAAAAACTGCACTGGATGCTTTTAAGTGCCGGACACAGCATATGCTAAACAGTACGCTACCTTACTGTGTCCACCTGCTGAATGACAGTTGATGTTAAACACGGATAGTGAGTGTGTGAGTGAGTGAGTGAGAAAATCATTCTCTCTCTCTCTCACCTGCTGCATTCGCGACTTTTCCTCCAGCTCCTTTGCGAGTTTCCGCGACTCCACCACGTGCTTGACGCGAGGAGACAGCTCCGAACCCTCGGACCTCGCCGTGCGAGCGGAACTTGGCTCCGTGGGGATCTCCTCGGCGATGGAAGACACGGAGGATCGGGTGTCACGCGGGGATTTCTCCGTCGGCTCCAGTTTGCTGAGCTCCAGGTGGATCCCCTCCAGCCGCCGCGGTCGGATTTCTTCTAGCTTTTCAGGACGGGTGGGAGATGGCAGGGGGCTGATCAGTCTCTTCTCTGGGGGGACGAAAAGGAATGAAACAATATATCACAATATATCATGGGTGCACAAGGCTAAACATTGAAATTAAAGTGACCACTTCTGCATAAAGACCACATGACAAAGACATCACTTTACTAGGCTAAGCATAATATAGTTACAGACACTACTTAATCTTGATTAATTTTACTGACCACAAAATATGCAAAAATCTTTTAAGTCATCCTGGGAAAGAGCTTAAATCATCTTGAAGAAAACTTTGATACAGCCAAAAGAAATTTGTGGGGAAGAAGAGTAGAAACTTGAGCTGTGTCTTTCCCAAAATCATGCAGGTAGGACTTTTCTGGTGCAGGTAAGTTTTTGTCTAATAAAGATGTGCAGATATAAAGAAAAAACTATAATTTTCTTGTTATTTTTATTCCCACCTTCTGCCGGGGACCGTGGTGTAGGCTGGATGCTGGCTGGCGTTGGCATGGTGATGGAGTCTGTGTGGTCCTTCTGTGCCGACTCCTCCTCAAAACTGGACTTACTGGACCGGCTGCTCTCTGACTCACTACGCTGCTTCCATCTGGGGGATAAGGTATCAGTTTGTTACTGTTGCTACCTTTCAGTTAGGTATATGGTTGATGAATTTAAGTTACTATACTTATGTCTACCAAAGGAAAATATTGTTTTTACTCTGTTCCAAACACTGACCTGGTCAATGACCTGAACCTGACAACTGTCTCCATGGTAACTAGTGTTGGGTTACATCATGTTGCAATTTTATAGCAGGAGGGATTTATACTCCTGTCACCATATATATGAATGTGTTTGGGTAAGAATAAACAGAGCAGACCATATGCGAAGGTAAACATTATGCATTTGCTTTCTAATTGCTTCTTCTCCAAACCAATAAGGTCATTGACAATATGTTTTCCTTCAGTAACCATAACGATTGTATGGACTCCACGAAAAATATTGTCAATGTAACAAACATTAATGGAGATCCCAATAAAACAAACAAACAGACCTGGTGAGGTCTGATTGGCTGCGAGGGCTGATATCGGGCGGGGTTTTCAGTCGTCGTGGCGACTCGGCTGGGCGGGGCTGTTTGATCTGCGGCTTGACAACGTTTTCCGCTTCTCGCTGCTCCCGCTCCAGGTCTTCTGTCGTCTTCTTTATGAACATGTCATACGCCTGGAGAGAGAGAAACAAAAAATCAGGGATTTCAAACTTCTGAGTCGTAGACATTTTGCACTAATGAACTACACAATAAGAATGTCTAAATAAATATTAGTCATATTCCTGAAAACAGTGGAGAAAAGAAGAAATGGGACAGAGTAAAAGCTCTAATTTTTTCCATTTGTTAGTGACTATTAAAGCAGTGGTTCTCAGCTGCAAAGTGTTCTTGCTTCTTGAGAAAGTAAATGTTGGGGCATTGTTTCTTCTTACATCTTAAAAAGTAGCCTTTGAACAAAGGAATGACCCAAAATCTAAGAAATTACAGTGACTATGTTGACAGAAATAAAGGTACAGAAAAACAGTATTTTGAAGAAGTTCCATGAAGTTTCTTTACATACATGTGTACATGAATGTACAAGCATGGGGTAAGAATTTAAATTAAAGGAGTCTAAAACAACAAAAACAAATTGAAAAGCACAGAACCAGCTGGCTAGTCCCCAGGTCTTGCCTCAAACCTCAAACATACACTTTTGTACATGAACGTGTGAAAAAAGAAAGACAAAGCCAGGTTTCCCATTGTTACACTGCTGTACAGTCTCCATTCCTGTACAAGTTCAGCTGGCCCTGATCTCCACATGGTCCATTCACAGATTTCATGGGTCGGCAGGGCTTTAGTGGTGTGTGTGTGACTCGCATAGACAAGTGTGGCTAACATTCCATCAGACCCAGCTAGCACATTTTGGCTGACTTCACAAAAACTTTTCATAATTTGATCTTGATCACACAGAAATCATAAAGTTACACCAAAAACCTTGTAACAAAACTGTTCTATTTTTCAAATTTAAGAACCAAGAGACCTGAATAAAACAAAGTCCTGCACAATGTTGCTATTGTAGTGTTCTACATTGTACATGTATGTGATGTTGTATGTAGTAAACTACAGGTCTTGTCTAATGCTATCAGAACAACCAGACAAAGTGCAAGTTGAACACATTGTTCGTTAGGACACTTTTTTGTCCCCTTTTCTAACAATTTCTTGACTATACAGAAATTAGGATGTCAGCTACATGCTGAACAAAACTTAAAAATGAGCAGAAACACGAGGTAAGGAATAAACAAAGACATAGAGTGACTTTGTTCCACTTCCAGAGTGTAACTGTATAACAAATTTTATACTAGATAATATGATAAAACTTAGTATCATCACCAAGGAAACTTGGATTTCTACTAACTGTAATTCCTGATGTTTTCATGGTACTTTTATGTTTGTGTTTTTGGCAGTCACACTCTGTACCACGAACTTATCATCATCTTTCCTGACTCTTTTACCTACCATGAACATACAATGTCATGTATAGTTCCGTGAACACCTTCAATTTTTGTCAGACCATGGACTTTTGCTAACGTGAACATAGAGGGAATTACAGTACTACTCAGTATTCATAATTATTAAGAAAAAATGAATGGGGGGGCATTCCTTACCTCCAGTTGTTTCCTGAGGGCCTCCTCCTGAGCTTTCAGTTTCTCCCTTGTCCGTCGTTTCGCCTCCTTCTTGAGTCGCTCGGCCACCATCTTCCTCTGCTTGAGTTCCTGGTTCAGCGCGCGGATCCGGCCCTCGATGTCACTCTGGTCTGACGCTGTCTCTGTGGATCACACGCGAAATCCCTCAAGGTCAAACAGGGGAGCGTCACAATAGTTCAAGGTTATTTTCTAAGAGCTAAGAATTCTTTTGTTAGGCATTTCACAGATGCTCTCTTGATAACACCAGTCCTAGATCAGTAATGTCGCTCTGGTCAGACGCTGTCTCTTTGGATCACACGGGAAATCCTTCAGTGGGATCAAACGAGATCGTCACACAAGTTCAGGGCTATTCTCAAAAAAGGAAAGTTTTCTTTACTCAACCCTTTCTACGACGTTGCTTTGAAGCTGTCTCTGTGGATCACACGGGAAATCCCTCAGCAAGATCAAACAGGGGATCATTGCAAAAGTTCAAAGATACTTTCCAAATGTTAGACATTCTTCTCTCAAGTGTTTTGTTGTCCTAATAGTTCATACTCGAAGATACCTACACTGTTGCTTTGGTCAGAAGCTGTCTCTATGGATCAAACAGAAGATCCTTCAGCCAGATCAAACAAGCCAAGTCTCAGAAGATTATGGTTACTTCCCTGGCTGGTGAAATTCTTTTGATAAGCCTTTGAATTTGATGATACTCTCCTAGCCTAGGCCTCATACAAGTAAAACCTGACCCTGACATTTTGAGATGCTGTCTTTGTGGATCATCTAGAACATCTGTCACTTACATGGACATCATACAAGCGAAGGAATGGTCTGTTTTGTTTTCCACCTTTTACTTTGCTTCTTGTCTTTCTTTTTTCTAATCCACAATGGCTGTGACCTTGAACCTAAGCCTGACCTTGTCTCTTTCACTAAACTATTCCCCAAACCAGCCATTGTTCACTGCACAATACTGCCACTCAGAAGGGGTGGGGGGCTTCTTAGAACCAGTCATTGTTTACAGAATGTGGTGTCCAGTAACTGTTGCTCAATTTAGCTACATGTATTATTGGAACAAGTTTGGCCGTTATTTCATAACATTAATTTACTGCATTTTACTAACACAGATAAACTTTCATGCTACATGTAAGTATAGAGCTCTATAACTATACAACAGTGGCCTGCAGTCCTTCAAAGTCAGAGTCCACCGACATGTCCTTCATTTTAAATGAGAACACTTGGCAGCTGTGAGCCACTGATTGCCCACTAAACTGTTCTCTATGTAAAATTAAGTAGGTATCGCTCACCGTAGCATATTATGCATATAAAAAAAACTTACCTGAGGGTGTGCATGTGGGGGTTGTACTAACCCGAGGGTGTGCATGTGGGAGTATACTAACCTGAGGGTGTGTGAGGGTTGGACTCCCCTTCAGACCCGCTCTCTGACTCCCTCCTCTTCCCCGGAACTTTCTGTGATCTCGGAGACACCAGACTCTCCCGCGTCCGTACTCCAGCAGGCTTCCCCAGGTCAAGCTTGGGGGGAGGCGGGGTACGCACCTACATGTAGTGTTTAATTAGGATTAATACATCATGTACAGTCTATGCAAGAAAAAAAGAGGTTCCACCGAAGGAAATATGAACAGGACTTAGGGGATTTTTGTGGTGTTATAAGAGTGCAGTTAAAACAAATAGAAGAATACATTTGAAACATGAAGTTGCGATGGAGAGGTCACAAAGAAAAAACAACTATGGCAACTACTTAAGCTTACAGTATGTACATGCACTATGTAAACAGTATAATGTACTACATGTATATACATGTACATTGCAATATACGATCCCAGTTAAGTATAGATAAATGTATTAGTACAATCATTGATGTATACAGATTACCCAATCAGCACCAAGGAGAGAACTATTTGTAAAGAAACAGACGTACCGGCCCCTTGCTGGCAGTCCTGGCGGTGTCGGGAGACTCGAATGAGTTGGAGTACTCCTCGCCTATGGAGCTGTTCTGTCCTGTGTCATCACTAGACACATCGTGGGGTCTGCAGGGGGAGAGATACAGGTAAAAAATGTCAACAGAATTATCTTGTATTAACTGGCTGATACAGTGTCAAGTGAACAGCTTACAGTAGGTGTAGGTTAGGCGTAAGCAGTCTACGTGAGATCTTGCGCTACAACAGACTTCGCTGGTATGGGCACGTACAAAGGATGGACCCGCAGAACTGGCCAAGGAAGGTCATGACAATGCCCACAGAGGACCGGAACCCGCGTGGTCGCCCAAAGAAGAGATGGGTAGACAGTATTAGGGAAGACGTCAAAAGCTTGAAACTGCAGAAGGCCAACCCGCTAGACAGAAGCAGCTGGAGAGCAGCAATTAGACCTAAAAGACACCCCACGACGTCCAACCCTTGCATGACGGGGAACAACGGATGTTAAGCCGTGCAGTGAGTGAGTGAGTGAGTAACAAGGGATGGCGAATGCTTTTTCTGTCCTGTGTCAATGTTGGAAACATCTTGGGACCTGCAGGAGGAACAACAATTAGTGTAAACAAAAATATCTTGTGTGTTAAGTATTGGGATCTTGAGTTGAGTCTTCACTCTACTAAGAATGTCTCCTAAGTGTTTAAAACAAGACGTAGTGAAACAAATTTCTTAGATGGGATGTAAAGTCGGTGTCTCCAGGTTTGACGAAAGCGACGTCTTCTGCAAATGAAAGACCCCCACTGCACCTATGGAAAGAGTGTGAATGGTTAACTTTACAGTCTGGTCTTACAGTAAGTGTATTACGCCTAGAGGTGGTTAACCTGAGTTATGCAAAACACAACAAATCTCTGCCTTACAGCCAGCAGAACCCAAGCGCAAGCCTCCTCTCCACATGACTAAGGACATAGTTACCACACTGTAAAATATGTAGTTGATTACACAAAATTCACTCTAAAATATATCTCGAACAAGAATGCCTTGTGGTGTTTGAAACAAGAAGATTAGTAAAACGAATCTCAGAGTCCCTTACAGCCAGCAAAACCCGAGCGCTAGCCTCCTCTCTAGATGACTCCTAACGTACAGGGACGTCTGGACCAGGTACTGACACACGGCTAGCACCGCCGCGTTACCAAACGTTACACACATGGGGACGGTTAAAAAAAACGTTATCGCGTCGAACGTGAAACAAACGTCCGGGTCCGAGGGTTGTTCCCATTCATGCTGGATTAGTGCAGAAATCCTGGGAAGCTCGCCTGGCAGCGGTGCCTCATTAATTATGCAGGGAGGGGATCGCGTGTGGGATGTGTGTTTTAATCCACGAGGGAAAACTTTTACAGTTATTTCCTTACAAAATACCGGTACTCCACCAAAGATGATTGTTTATGTTGTGTGTTTTCATTTGAGGCCACACGAACGTGTTTCCAAAGTTTAATATGAAACATCTCCAGTAAGTGGACAAGACTGAACCAGAGGGCCGGGGAGGATTGCGTGTGGGATGTGCGTGGGAAAACTGAAGCTTTCTGTTACTGTATCAGTTATTACCTTACATTACAAAATACTTGATTGTTTATGTTTGGCATTTTCATTTGAGGCCACATGAATGTATTTCCACGGTTTAATACCAAACATCTCTAGTACAAATCTTGTAAGTGGACAAGACAGAACCAGAGGGCTGGAATAATGTCTGCCATCTTACAAACTTGTTTCCTAGGCTCAGTTTTTATAAGTTGACTTTTAAGCTTTGTTTTTCAGGATGAATTTTAGAAATTACCTGCACTGAGTTACACATCAATTAGTGTGCCCTAAATGTGTAAGTGTGAATATTAGATCTGACCTTACAAAGCGGTCGATAACCCGGAGGCTTGTCTCCTTAATCCCTGGGATAAGTTAACAGTTAGGGACGGTCCACTGATGGTTGGTGGGGGGGTGGGGTTGTACATGTAGCAACCCAACGTTACATTTTTTTTTACATTAGAATCATTTCTGGGTGCAAAGTACTGAAAGCTTGCCATTTGAAAATATGATTATGCTACCAAGAATAAAGAATTTCACCCTTTTTCTATGATACATGAAATGAACCAACTATTGGACAAATCCAAGAACCAACAAATAAAATTGGTCCAGCCTGGATCCCCCCTTGGGACCAAAAGATGGAAGCTTCAGGGTAAAGCTGAAAGGATCGAAAATATCAGAATATCATCAAGAATAATGAATTTCACCCTTTTTTATATGATCATCATAATCATCATCATCAGCCGACATTTATGATACATATCGACATTGGACAACTCCAAGAACCAACCAATAAACTTGGTCCAGCCTGGAACCCCCCTGGGGACCCCCAGATGAAAGCTCCAGGGTGAAGCTGCTGGACGTGGCAGCGCCGGGCTTTTATCCCAGAACACGAGCCTGTCTGGTGTGGTCGGACGTCTGGCTCCCAGGGTCATGGATTATTCATGTACACGGAAGGGCCAGGAACTATGTGTACATGTGCGTGTGTTAGGGTTTAGGTGTAGGTGTGATGATCCATGATGTATCCAGTACCTTGCATGTCTAGTTCTATTTCTGAGTGTGCTAGTATTCTGTTCTGGATGGTCTCTATTGTGCCTATTTACATGTAGTCCTTTTCC